CACTTCCAACCAGTTTGGACAGTCTCAGAGGCTGTGGTTCTTATGAGCACATCTTGTTTGTTTGCTGCCAAGGATCAAAGCAATCATTCAGTTGTGAAATAGAGGAACAGAAATGAAATAATAACAAAAGAAGATAGATAGAAAGATGTAGGAAAATTTCTAACCTGGGCCAAGAGAGAAAAAGGTCCACTATTGTTCAAAAGTCCTATTCATTTACCACAATCTCAGTGTGCTGCATTATTCTCCTCTTAATTTCAGTAACAAATGACTTTGGCATGTTTGTCAAGATCAAGTTGCTAAAAGTCTGTATCTGCAGCAAGGTTATAGGAAGCCCCTGTAGCTCCTTACAGCACCTGATTTCTAAGGTGTGGAGTTTCTGCATTGTTCCTTCATGCAGAGTCAATATTTTTAGATTTTCCAGTTTCCATAGCTTCAGAACTCGGAGGGCAGGGAACCCATTTTCAGGACAATGCATTTCTTCTCCCACATAGGAAGAAGCTAAAAGCCTGAGGTTAATCAAGTTTGACAGCTTAGATAGAGTAGGCATGGGATCTTTGTCTAGCTGTGAGACTGATAAGGTAAGGACTTTGAGTCCAAATGGGATCTGGTACCAATCAAGAGGTCTAAGTAATTTTCCTAGTAAGTACAGTTGAGAGAGGTTCTTGAGAAATAAGAAAGGTTCAATAATGAGCTCTGAAGGCCGACCCATGTGGTCCTTGGACCTTAATCTTAGAGATCGAAGGCTAGAGAGTGAATGAATCCACAAACCAATTTCTTTATAGGAGGATGAATGGTTTGTTGTTATGTTGGTGGTGGTGCTGATTGTTGAAGAAGACTCGATTGTCAGATCAAGTTTTTGGAGGTTGACCATTTTTATCAAAGCCGAACCAATCATTCTTGCAATCTTCTCATCTACAAACAAACCCCATAGAGTTTGGAGCTGGCTTGGAGCTTTATGTATCATTAACTGAACAGGGATGTCTAGACGAGCTCCGTTCAGGCAAAGATGACGAAGATGCTTCATGTTCCAAATAGAACTTGGGAGAGTGGTGATTTGTGTATGCTTGATATCCAGTGTTTCAAGGTGGAGCAGCCCACCAAGTGAAGAAGGAAGAGTTTTCAAGAAAGTACCTCTCAAGCCTAAATACCTCAAGTGAAGTAGGTTCCCCAGATTCTCCGGTAGCCGTGGTCGATCAACATCCTCCAAATCGAGCACCTTTAGTAATCCAAATCCTCTGTCTCCAATGATCCTTTCTAAAAATGTTCCTACTTCATCTGCATGCATATATTTCTTTCGGTTGTTGAATGATATGTAGGACCGTAAATACTGGTTGAAAGCTTTTGAAGTGGGATAGTCCTTGATATTGGTGCATTCAACAACTCTACGAACTCCTAATCTATGTCTTGTTTCTGCATTTGAATTTTCTCTGTACTTTTGGTGGAGGTGGAAGAGGCCTATTTCTACAGCCCTGGGCCTGTAGATGTCATGTAGGAATCCAGTCATTCGGCATTTTTTAGGATTCTCACTGGATGTCCTTTTTGAGATTTCCACCATGTTCCTCTGTGCAAGCTCTTCGAGATATGACTCCACTATGTCCTCCGGAATAATCCCTTGAATTGGCTTCACAAAGCCCTCGGCAACCCACAACTGAAACAACCTTCTCACAGGTATTTCAAATCCTTTCCGAAACAGCCCTAAATAATGAAAGCAAGGCTTCAAGTGGAGTGGAAGATCATCGTAACAGAAGGCTAAAATATCAACATCGTGTTGCTCAAAAATATCAGACCAATCTTTGTAGGTCACCTTCCTTGTCGATAGCAAACCAGCAAGCAGTGCAATCCTCAGGGTGCTCCCTCTGCAGATTTTTGCAATTTTCTTTTTCAAATCCTCCATAATTTCGCCTGATAATGGTGTTCCTTTCAGACCCCATACTTTTTCAATGAACATCTGTAACTCATCCTCCATGTCTTGAGGCTTGTAGTGATAACGGCTTGCTGCATCTGCAAATGAAGCGGCTGTTTCATCAGGGGTGGTGATCACCACCCTACTTCCATTGTATGCATCCGGTAAGGCACCTCTTAACTTTTCCAAAAGATCAATACTTTTGATATCATTGATGACTATTAGGTAATTTTGACCTTTCAAAAACCCATGAAGCGTCCCTATCAGGTCCTCATCTTTGAGATCCGCTTTGACCTCGGAGCTGGTCACCTGTTGCAGTATAGCCAAAATAAGATCTCTGAATAACCAGTTTGTGTCAAAGGCTAGCAGAGCACGACATGCAAACTTCTTCTTGACCTCCAGCTTGTTGTAGATTGTCTTGACCTTAGCTGCTTTGCCCATGCCAATCTCTCCAAAGACCGAGATTATTTGAAGAGGTTTGCTATTGCTGGTTATCTGCTTCAGCAACTTCTCCACATCTATCTTGAAAGTGGTGTCTTCTTCCGATGGTGCATGCAGACGCGTCGTGAGAGAATACAGGAACGGTGCCAGAGGTAATGACGCCATTCGATCACAAACATTCTTGAATTTCTTCACTGAATCCTTTCATCTTAGATTTGAGTTTGCGGGCGTTCTCAGAAACGTCCATCGCGTTTAGAACTTCTCTGCAAAGCTTGAATTTGAATATTATATGCTTCTTGACAAAACCCCTCTTTCTCAAAAGGGTTTCTCTGAGGGCGAAAGATTCTATGGCGTCCTCAACACTGTAGACTTTGCCCAGAAAAAACACGATCGAATCTGTAAACACCTTGTTATTTTGGTCTTGGTGTTCTGCATTATTTAGAATCCTTTGCATCTCCCCGAGCTCCTCCATAACTTTCTTTACTTCATCTCTAACGTTTTCAAAAATTTCTGATCTCTCCTTTAGCAAGTCTGAAAGTTTCTGTATCACAACAGATACAATAGCTTCGACAGCCATTTCTCTCTCTCTCTCTCTCTCTCCCTCTCTCTCTCTCTCTCTATATATATATATATATATATATGTACAAAAGGTAAAAAAGAAGATCTGGATGGGTGGGAATGGCAACACCGGTAAAGAACTCTCTCTTCTTTAAACTAAGATCCAGGGTGGACAAGGTCGAGTTTTAACGCTTCAAGACCATAAACTTAATCGGTCAAGATTCCAAGGTTCATTTTGGGGTCACGATCTTCCATCATTGACTTGGGCCTTCATTAAGTAATCATCAATAATTTTAATTTAAGACTTCACAACTACTGCCATAATTTAGTTAAACGCATTCATATCACTACGGACAGCAAAGGGTTATTAGTTACACGATCTTAATGGTTTAATTTACGAGTTTGATATTCTAAAGCATCGCAGATCTGTTTACTTTTAAATCTGAAATTGCAGGTGGGTTTCTGGACGATGAAAATGATACAGATTTAGGAAACCACCACTTGCATCTCCATGTGAAAAGGAGTAGACTTTCTCCATATCTTCTTGCCTACTGTCAAGATCTACTGCCATTCACCATTAATCGATACATTTACCCTCCAACTACTTCTCTTCTACACGTTTATTTACACTAGAATAATTCTTGTAATTATAAGTGATTTAGAATGATAGTAGGCACATGGAAATTGGAAAAGGAAAACAGTAACATTTGTATATGGTTGTTAAACCAAATTAAGATGCTTGCTTATCTTGGATATATATGAACTAATTATGGCTGGTTTTACTTTTAAAATCTGAATTGTTCATGGATGATGAAGACAACAACAGATTAAATGTCAGTGTCATGTGGAGACACTGAGGATGATCCCCTACCTAACCGTTATCGAGCCCAACAAATAATAATTTCTTGTTACCTAATTAACCGAAAGAAAATGTGATTGAATCCTCCAAATTTGTCTTTCTTTGCTCCTCCCTTTGTTCTCTACCGATTTATAATCGATATCCTCAAGAAAATACGGCTTATAAACCCCTAAAAGCCCAAATAACGATAATAGAATGGAATGAAAATAATGATTACGATTCACCCTATTCTAATTACGAATCCCATTTTCATTTCTTAAAGCGAACCAAACACCCCCTTAAATTATGTATCTCAACCACACCATCTTCTTGTTGTCACTCTCTTTTCCTTACTGATATGATTTTCTTTCTTTTGATGATAATTTTTTCATACTGACCGGTGTTGAGCCGGCAAATAATAAGATTTAGTGATGAATCCTATTACCTCTAATGCACAAGGAATTGTGATAGCGATAAGTAATATCGTCTCTTCAGGAACTTGGTGTTAACCATAAGTCCAAGACGAATTCACGTGTAAAAGTATCGAAAGCATTAAATAAGGGGGGATGGTTGGAAGATGTCGATTAATCTAAGCATAAAAATAAATTGAAATTTTAAACAATAGAAGAAGAATTCTAGAAATGAGCAACAATCAGCTAATTCTTTGGATCCATATTATCAACTCGTACCAAACAAAGCCCAACTAATTGTTTGCATGCATATATATATATATATATATAGAGAGAGAGAGAGAGAGAGAGAGAGATGGGTTCACATGAGACCAGCCTGTTTTTGTGAGACCCGTGAGACCACATTTTTACACTTGAAACTTCACAACAAAAACACTGTGAAGGTTTAAAAAAGTCGAACCTTCACAGCAAAAACATTGTAAAGGTTACCTTCATAACATTTTGCTGTGAAATTTCAAGTGTAAAAAGTTGGTCTCACGTAATTCCAAGTCTATATATATATATATATATATATAAGGAATTCATTACACCACCAATGTTAGGTAATTTTCTGACACCCCTTGTCAATTAATATATTAGATTACAAGATATAGTGGAAAAAATCAACATGAAAACCAAAAGGCCCCAACCTTTTTGAAGAAATAGAACGAGTCTCATTGGTGTTATGAAGGAAAGAAATTACTGGGGATGCTACAATTCCTTCTAAACTAATTAATACGGTAACCATCATGAGAACGTGAAGTAATGATGAGATGAAATTAAAGAAACATAATGCTACATGTTGATCCCATTAGGTATTCCTCAACTTAGCTCTTCCATGACTTTCTAGCTTGAAGTGTTTGGTGAGGCCAAGATGTGCCATCAAAAGCCATACATGAGTGAGAAGCTCTCCACCCTTGTGAAGCTGTTGAGCATGGTCAAATCCATTGCACTGACCTGCTGCATACCCAAGAAGCTCCACCCACACATCACTCACCATCTTCCACATCTTTTCAGGATCATTCATACTGTTCAATTTAGCTGCAAGGTTGCAAGTCTTAAACAGTACTGATTCACTCATATCATCCACCTTCAGTGTCCCAGGAAAATATTTGGTGCTCACTTGTCCTAACATTCTGTACGCCTCAAGTTTACTTGCACAACGTTTCTCATCAAAAAAAGCCAGGGCCTGAATACAGGTGTCTTGGAATCTAACCATTCCAATTCCATTGGGTAACATGAAAGGACACTTGACCAACAGATATAACATGTAATCCGCTAATTGCTTGCTGTGTAGCATGTGATCCACCCATTCGTGTTTGATTTCATTACAATTCGAGTTCTTACTTTCTTCCCGCTCATAACAGAGATGAGTTGCAATATGCCAAATGAGAATGCTATGGTCGAACTCCACTTCAACTGCCCATTTTAAGTTGCCATAATTTTTGTGGGTATTTAGAGCAACTGCCCCTGGGCAGGTGGACAAGATCTTAAGATCCAATTCTGGGTCCGTAGAATTTTCAAGCAAGTGCTCAAAAATAAAAGATGCCAGCTTGGGTGATATCTTGAGATGTTTCGGATGGCGAAAACTCACCCAGTATTTAACCCATAAATTCTTGAGCATTTTACCCAAAGGGATGAACTTCGAGATTTTGTAAAATGCTGAGGATTTCTGAGTGAGGCAAAAATCTAACAAGCTGTATTGATACATAGAGTGTGACCATCTTTTTTCTTTCTGTGCAGATTGGAGTGACATGACTGAGTGGCAAAACATAGGAATATTAGAAGGATGTTGACTGAACCATATAATTGCCCAGTCAGAGGTAAGTGAAGATATGGCTGCGTATGATTCTCGAAAAATAGAACCTATTAGCAAAATGCAAGTAATCACCACATCAAGAAATACATGTTTATGTGATCTCGCACCTATTACGGATACAAAGAAAGTCACCAGCACAGAGAGGGTGGTGAAGGAAGTGAAGAGACGGGAAAACAAACCGAACGGAGTATATAAGATAGGTGCTTTTGTGTAGAAGACATCATAGGCAAAACCAAGCTCAAATTCAATCACCTGAAACGCGGTTGCATAGTCTTGTCTCTGGAAGAAAGATCGACTCACATCTCGTTCGTGGAAGCTGAGGACGAGATCCACAAGGAGCCGCTTGAACTTGAGCGTCTCAAAGAAGTAATCTGCTGTGCGCAATATGCTTGCATCACGATTAGAAATGGATGAAGTAGTACCTGTCACGTATTTGAGATAATCTGGAGGTGAGCTCCCCTCTTCCATTTGAGTAGCTGTAACATAGTACCCCTCGGCTTCTCTTAAGTTGAACTCCTCCATGAACCTCGCATAATTGACCCCTGTATGCCTAGCCCCTAGAAAGGAATCCTGAAGATTCTTCCGGTCAGCAGACATGAGAACCCATGTTCTCTCACCATACTTGATGATCCCACACAGAAGCATAGGAATGGTGAGGAATGAGAGAAGAGTGTCGTCCCATGATAGAAGAGTGATGTAGACAGCTGCGGCTGTTTGGACGAGAAGCCCAAGCAAGTGTCTTAACCATAATTCATTATCGGCTAAAGCATAAGCAGTAATGGTGTCCGGGCCACCGAGGTGAAGTATCAGAAACGGAGCCCAGAATGCCATCAGCCTTAGATCTCCATACGGGGTGTTGCTAATTTGACCAGAATTGTAGGAACTCCCTTGCCGGTCAACCAGGAGGCCAAGGGCAACCGTGGCTACCCAATCTGCCAACAAGTAAGCACACCAAATAAAAGCTCTGATCCTTTTCTTGGCAATATACTTTCTCCGGTTACCACTGTAGATTAGTGATATTTGCAGTGCAAGGCTGAGGAGTACCAATCCTCTTAGCTCCCATCTATTCCATTGCCTCCTCACAGGCTCCTGGAAAATCTGAACCAATCTCCTTTTCTGGTCAACAAGGATCAAACTGCTCAAAACTGTCCAAAAACACAGGTAAAATCATTAAACTGCAAATTTAACAAAAAATATAAAAAAAAATGTCTTTAAGTTCTTGATTTGAGAATGTGGATCAACTTAGTGCTAAGTACCATTGTCGATATTCTGGGATCTAAATCTTGAATTTGGTCTGGTGGAGTTGGTGCTATATCAAATATGAGTCGGAAACTAGATGTAAACTGACATTAGTTAATTAAGTTGACCTGCAGGCTGCCAGCTGGCTTGCTTATGTTTTTGACCAACGATTAAAGAAAGACTTCCTTTATTTATTAGTTGAAAATTTTAAAAAAAACTGCTAAAACTAAATATTCAACGATATGTTAGATAATCTATATTATATTATAAACTATTTGATAAAAATTCTTAAAAAATATTTTTTATGCATGAATTATTGTATATTGATGCATATTACTTAAAATTCAAGATTATAAGTAAATTATGCACAAGTACAATTTATTAAAGCTCCATGTTTGAAATCGTGTAACTAACTGCGGATAAACATAATCAAATATAAGATAAGCATCTCATTTTAAAATATAAAAATTCTAAATTATAATTAAAATAAATATCGAGTTCTAACAAATTTAACTTTCTACTTAAACTAATTAATATACTCTAAAACTAGTTCTAGTTAAATTATAATTAATAAATATATGTCAACTACATAAAAGCGTTATAATTTAGCGGTTGAAAACTATTAATGTTAAAAATGTTATAATTTAACAATACTCAAATTTTCACTATTCATCATAACCGGTTAATGTTAATTTATAACACACATGCACATGCACATTCACACACACATGCACATTCACACACATACACACATATATACATACATATATACACACATATATACATACATATATACATATATATATATATATATATATATATATAAAGTGAGAATGTTGTTACAACATGTGTTGTTAACATTTATATCAGATATTCCTCATCTGATGTTGGGGAATCTCGGTTTGGAGTTATGTAAAATTTGGATGAATTTTTTTAATCGTTTATTAGAAAGACATTTTGCAAATATTATGTTTTTCCCCTATTATGTGTTGGGTTTACATGAAATTAGTACCAGGATAATTCAGAAACCGTTGACATGAATTAAGGCACAAAATACGTATATATGTATATATATATATATATATGTATTCACCGGATCACGTTTTATGTATTTATATGAGAGATCAATGGTTCTGGGCGATTAATTAAACGGTTAAAATATAAATATATGATAGTTATAACCGTTAACGGATAAGGTTTGTGAGCAGTTATATCAGAATCAAAGATAACATTCAGAGAGTTGGTTCCATGGTCTAGAACTTTTTTTTTTTGGGTAAAGGGGATATGGTCTAGAACTTTGGTTGCTCTACATTAGACTTTGGTTCCATAGTACAGAGCTCTAATTGCTCTACCTCAGATCTAGACTTAGAACTTCAACGATAACTCTAAATTCTGATCAAGAGGGCCAAAGTTTTGATTGCTCTACTTTAGAGTCGTACTTTGTGATATTCCATGAAGTTCGAGAGCAATCATCTTGAGTCATAAAACCAATAAGTATGACTCCTCATAAAATCCATAAACCTCGGGGTGCTTCCCCAAGGATCAACACAAACATATATAATGTCCTTCATCATGATGATGATGATGATGATGATGATAATGATTGGTAACCACAAAGATATTGTCCCACTTACCTACTGGACTAAATGAATCTATATATATAAATATATATATATATATGTATGTATGTATGTATATATATATATATGTATGTATGTATTCAGAAGGGCAATGAAGGTCGTAACATCCATTTAACTTCAATTATATCCTTTTTGTATATCATTTTTGTTGGTCTAAACCATTCCTATAGTCTTCACAGAATAAAAACAAAGGGAAGCATCCATATCCTTTATTCTAATTTTACGATTATTGAACTGGACCTTTAACCCGAATGAACTAGATCGTTGTACCAAAACACATACCCAAAAAGGTTTACAGAACTCCACTGTGTCGAAAATTGAACTATGATTCAGCAACAAACCTTCGGAGGATTTTTTAGTATGGTTGTTGACAGTAACAAGGAACATGGGGTGAAAGTGGTGAAGTCAGAAAATCAGGCTGTTGAATAAGTATAAAGAAATAAAAAATATTTGCTAGAAATAAATGAAAAACTAACAACTATTTTCTATGTTTAACATTATGTGTGAAAAATGTCTTAACTCATTTCTCCACAGATGAACCAACGATTGTGTATTTTTGTATTCCTCCATCTTTGAGGCAGTAATCATTCCCATTGTAACACCAAATATGGTTTAGTTCTCGCCGTCCTCCGCCTGTGGTTTTTTCCCTTTCCGGGTTTCCACTGAAAATCTCCAGTGTCGCTCTTCTTACTGCTTTATTTTTAATAGTGTGTTTGCTCTGTTATATTCATGATTGATTGACTGGTATATGCTAAGTAGACATCATTAATAACCATATCAATCCGAAGTCCCAGTTAAACCACTATCAGATTTGTGTGATGATTTGATCTTGGAGGATTAATGACTTCTTTTAGTTTGACTTTGAACTCGATTTCATCTATTGGATTAATTGTGAACCTAATCGTGTTCAAATCCACAACCTATTGGATAGACAGAAATGCATAGAGATCGATAGAAATTACAGTAGTGAGCATGAAAAGAAACATCCGAGTAGTAATTATACATCTGATAAAAAGATTTCATCTGCCAGTATTGCGTTGTTCCTTCTGCAAGTGTACTCCTGACATTTTTTTTTTTTTTTTTGTGAAATCTGGGAAATACCACCATACCAGATATGACCTCCAACCAGTTTGGACAAGGGTTGTGGTTCTGTAGATCCCAGATCCACAGCAAATCAAGATGAACAGATTGAATGAAGATGAATAGAAACAGGCCTGGTTTCTTTATTGATGAAAAACATAATTACAAAGAAACTCTCTCAAAGCTTAGGCGACTCTCATGTGAATTACAGGAACGATCAAGATCAAAATCTAAGCCCATGACTCTTATTTATAGGATCATTTACAAGCAAGCCCATTGCCCTTTTACAAGGATAATACAATACAATAAAACTGACTTTGTAAAACTTCCATAAACTTGGGGCTATTTTAGTTCCAACAATCTCCCCTCAAAGTTTTATAAAGTCAGTTTTATTGTATTGTATTGTAATATCCTTATAAAAGGGCAATGGGCTTACTTGTAAATGACCTATAAATAAGTGTCATGCGCTTAGATGGGATTTTCAGGTTCTTATGAGCACATCATGTTCTCTTGCTGCTACCAAGTTTATAACAAAAGAAGGCAAACAGATGACTGCAATATCATAGGAAATTTTCTAACATGGGCCAAGAGAGAAAAAGGCCAAGCTAACAAGATGCTCCACTGTTCAGACACGACTTATTCTTTAATTTCCATGATCTTAGTGTGCTTCTCCTTTTTATTTCTAATAGTAGAAACGAATGGTGATGGCATGTCTGTCAAGATCAAGTTGTCAAAACCCTCTATCTGCAGCAAGGTTACAGGAAGCTCCTCTAGCTTCTCACAACACCTGATTTCTAAGGTATGGAGTTTCTGCATAGTTCCTTCATGCACAGTAAATATTTTTAGATGTTCCAGTTTCCATAGCTTCAGAACCCGGAGGGCAGGGAACCCGTTTTCAGGACAATGCATTTCTTCTCCCACATAGGAAGAAGCTAAAAGCCTGAGGACCATCAAGCTAGACAGCTGAGATAGTGTTGGCATGGGATCATTTTCTAGCTGTGATACTGATAAAGTGAGGACTTTGAGTCCAGGAGGGATCTGGTACCAAGGCAGAGGTTTCCGCAAATGTCCTAGCAAGTATAGTTGAGATAGATTCTTGAGATTTGAGAAAGGTTTGACAATGAGCTCCGAAGGTCGACCCATTTTGTCCTTGGACCTTAATCTTAGAGATTGAAGGCTAGACAATGATTGAATCCTTGAAGCAATTTCTTCGTAGGAGGATGAATGGCTTGTTCCAGTAGTGGTGATGGTTGTTGCAACTGTTGAAGATGACCGTCTTGTCAGATCAAGTTTTCGAAGGTTGGTCATTCTGCTCAAAGTCAAACCAATATTTCTTGCATTCTTCTCATCAACAAACAAACCCCATAAAATCTGGATTTGGCTTGGACCTCTTGATTTTGCAGATATGTCTAGACGAGATCCGTTCAGACAAAGATGACGGAGATGCTTCATGTTCCATATAGAACTTGGGAGAGTGGTGATGTGTGTGTGCTTGATGTCAAGTGTTTCAAGATAGAGCAGGCCACCAAGTGAAGCAGGAAGAGTGTCCAAGAAAGTCCATCTCAAGCCTAAGTACCTCAAGTGGAATAGGTTGCCCAGATTATCTGGTAGCTTTGGTTGATAAACGCCTTCCAAATCAAGCACCTTGAGTAATCCAAACCCTCTTGCTCCAATAGTTCTTTCTAAAAATATTCCTACTTCTTTGGCAGGCATATCTTTCTTGCGGCCGTTGAAGGATATGTAGGACTGTAGATTCTGGCTGAAAGCTTTTGAAGCGAGGTAGCCCTTGATATTGGTATATTCAACCAACCGACGAACTCTGATGCGAGGTTCTTCTGCTGCATCTGATTTCTGGTGGAGGTGGAAGAGGCCTATTTCTACAGCCCTGGGTAAGAAGATGTCATGTAGGACTACAATCATTCGGCATTTTTTGGGACTCTCATCGGATCTCTTTTTTGTGATTTCCACCATGTTCCTGTTCACAAGCTCTTCCAGATATCCCTCCACTATGTCTTCCAGAATAATCCCTTCTTCTGACGGCTTCACAAAGCCCTCAGCAAGCCACAACCGAAATAACCTTCTCACAGGTATTTCAAATCCTTTTCGAAAGAGCCCTAAATAGAGAAAGCAGGGCTTCAAGTGAAGTGGAAGATCATTGTAACAGAAGGCTAAAATATCAAATGATGGGGATTTGGTAGCAAAATCAAGTTGTTCAAAAACTCTCAAGCAATCTTCATAGATCGCCTTCCTTGTCGATAGCAAACCAGCAAGCAGTGAAATCCTCAGGGGAGTTCCTTTGCAGCTTTCAGCTATTTTGTTTTTCAAATCTTCAATCTCGTCTGAGAATGGGTATCCTTTTATACCCCATACCTTTTTAATGAAAATCTTTAAGCCATCATCCATGTCTACAGGCTTGAAGTGATAACGGCTTGGTGCATCTGCAAATGAAGCCGCTTCTTCATCAGGGGTGGTGATCACCACCCTACTTCCATTGTATACATCCGGTAAGGCACCCCTGAGCTTTTCCAAGAGATCAAGACTTGTGATATCATTGATGACTATTAGGTACTTTTGACCCTTTAAAAACCCATGAAGCCTTCCTCTCAGGACCTCATCTTTGAGTTTCTCCAAGCCCTTCATGCTGGTCATCTGTCGCAGTATAGCCAAAATAAGATCTCTAACTGACCAGTTTTTGTACACGGCTAGCAGTGCACGGCATTTATCAAACTTGTTCTTGACCTCCTGCTTGTTGTAGATTGTCTTGACATGAGCTGATTTCCCTATGCCAATCTCTCCAAAGACCGAGATTATTTGAAGTGGTTTGCTATCGCTTGTTATCTGCTTCAGCAACTTCTGCACGTCTTTCTTAAAAATGGTGTCTTCTCTCTTTCGTGCATAATAAGCATCACTCTCTTGCCATGTTTGTTCATGCAGACGCATCGTGTGAGAATCCTGGAGCGGTGCTGGAGCTAATGAGGGTATTTTACCTTTCCATTCTTGAATTTCTTTGCTGAATCCTTTCATCTTAGATTTGAGTCCACGGACGTTCTCAGAACAGTCCAACGCATCTGGAACTTCTCTGCAAAGCTTGAACTCGTTTGCCATGACGAATATATGCTTCTTGACAAAACCCATCTTTTTCAAACGGGTTTCTGTGAGAGCGAAAGATTCTATTGCGTCCCCAAGACTATAGACTTTGCCTAGAAACTGAACCACCGAATTTGTAAGCACTCTGTTACTTTGCTCTTGGTGTTCTGCATTATTTAGAATTCTTTGCATCTCCCCGAGCTCCTCCATAACTTTCTTTACTTCATCTCTAACGCTTTCAAAAATTTCTGATCTCTCCTTTACCAAGTCTGAAAGTTTCTGTATCACAACAGATACAACAGCTTGAACAGCCATCTCTCTCTCTCTCTCTCTCTCTCTCTCTCTATGTACAAAAGGTAGAAAAGAAGATCTGGATGGGTGGGAATGGCAAAGCCCGTAAAAAACTCTCTTCTTTAAATTAATAAGATCCAGGGATGGACAAGGTCGAGTTTTAACGCTTCAAGACCATAAGCTTAATCGGTCAAGATTCCAAGGTTCATTTTGGGGCCTACCTGCTGAGTTTGAATAAAAAGCCACGATCTTCTATCATTGACTTGGGCATTCATTAAATAATCATTAATAATTAGAATTTTAAGACTTCACATGCCATAATTTATTTAAACGCGTTCGTTCATATTATTAATTATAATTAGAATTTTAAGACTTCACATGCCATAATTTATTTAAACGCGTTCATATTATTAATTATACGATCTTAATGGTTTTAATCAGGAGTTTGATATTTTAAATTTTTTCTAACGTAATAACAATTCTATTTGTTCTTGGAATATGCTTAGGGTATTTACTGACATCTGTATATGGCTGTTAGACCAAATAATTAAGATGCATGCTTTAATGTCATCTGGAAACACTGAGGATGATCCCCTACCATACATCTCCAGGTAAGAACAAATGTGTTGACTTATATTGGTTGACTATATATCTAGCTCTAAATTTATCATATCATCAATGATTGTATTTGCTCTCACATTGAAGAAAACGATTAACTACTATACATCTGTAAAGTACCTCCCACCTAATGCATTGACTCAAGAACTTTCTTCCTTGCACTCTTTTTGTCCTGAAATTTTATTAGATGATATAGTCAGATGGGCCAAATTTACAAGTTTAAAATGGTAAGCATTCATCATCTGGTTGATAATGTACATGCTGTTGAACTCATCTTTTTCACACTTGGTACAACTATAATTTGAATGACTGCTAGAATAGGCCCCAGAATTTAATTCTGGTCCAAAATTATGTTGTTTAGGGCTTTTCGTCAATGAATGTAAAACTATAGCCCATCTTAATTAGTGTCTCTCTAATTTCTTTCAGAAGACACAAGTAATATGCCTCATTATCACCATTGTACTTTGTATATATGTAGCTTTGTTATCTCATTTTGCAATATAATCAAAAACTTTAGGTATACAGGCCTCCAAAAAGATTGGAACATCCCTGGGGAACAAACCGAGAACGTATGGTAGACTTTGCCTAGAAACTGAATCACCCAATTTGTAAGCACCTTGTCACTTTGCTCTTGGTGTTCTGCATCATTCAAAAGTGCTTTGCATCTCCCTAAGCTCCATCACAACCCTTTCTACTTCATCTCTAACCTTTTTAAAAATTTCTGATTCCTCAATTAGTAAGTTTGTGAGCTTGTTTATTATCACAGAGACAACAGCCTCAACAGATTGATCACAACCATTTAAATGAAATTGCAGCATAATGGTGATAACAATAAGAAAGTAAATATATTATTGCCACATGTTGTAACATTAGATTGATCATTAAGTAACAGCCAGCTTAACTCTTCCATGACCTTCTTCTATCTTGAAGTGTTCAGTGATGCCAAGATGTGCCATCAAGAGCCAGACATGAGTAAGAAGCTCTCCACCCTTTTCAAGCTGTTGAGCATGGTCAAATCCTCTGCACTGACTAGCGGCATAACCGAGAATCTCCACCCACACATCACCCACCATCTTCCACATCTTGCCAGTATCACTCATCTCGTTTAACAAAGCTGCAAGCTTGCAAGCCTCAAACAGTACCGACTTACTCCTATCCCCCTTCACTTTTGCCGGAAAGACTTTGGTGCTCACTTGTCCTAACATTTCGTAGGCCTCAGGTTTACTCACACTGCTTCTTTCCTCAAAAAATACGAGGGCTTCAGCACAGGTGTCTCGGAATCGAATCATTCCTATCCCAATGGGCAACATGAAAGGACACATGACCAGGATGTATAATATGTAGTCTGCTAATTGCTTGCTGTATGTCATGTGATCATCCCATTCTGGTTTGATTTCTTTACCAGTTGAATCTTTGTCTCTTTTACTTTTGTCCATGTTGTAGCACAGATCAGTGGCAATATGCCAAATGAGAATGCTATGGTCGAATTCCACATCAACTGTCCACTTAAACATGCCATAACTTTTGTGAGCTTGTAGCGAAACTGCTCCTCGACAGGTGAACAAGTTCTTAAGCTCCAACTCTGTGTCGACAGATTTTTCCTTGAAGTGATCAAAGATAAAAGACTTGAGCTCGGGAGATATATCGAGATGTTCCAGCTGGAGAAAACTCTCCCATTTTTCCCATAAGTTCTCGAGTCTTTTATGAATAGGAATGAACCTCGAGATTTCTCGAAAAGTGGATGATTTCTGGTTGAGACAAAAATCTAACAAAGTGTATTGATACATAGAGTTCGACCATCTTTTTCCTTTCTGCGTAGATTGGATTGGCGAAACTAAATGGGAAAGCAATGGGATCTTGGAAGCATGCTGACTGAACCAAAGATTTGCCCAGTCAGAGAAAACCAAAGATACGGCTGCATATGCTTCTAGTAAGATAGCACCTATCAGCAATATATAAGTAATCATAACATCAATGTATAGATGGCTATCTGATCTCAAACTGACGAAAGTCAACAACACTGAGAGGGTGATGAAGGAAGTGATAAGACGGAAAAACAAACCGAAAGGAGTATGTATGATGATTGCTTTTGTGTAGAACACATCATAAGCAAATCCAAGTTCAACTTCAATCACCTCAAAGGCGGTATCGTAATCCTGTTTCCCAAAGAAAGATTGGCTCACATCTCGTGGATAGAATCCAAGAATGAGATCCACAAACAACCGCTTGAACTTTAGAGTTTCAAAGAAGTAATCCGCCATATGCAATATGAGTCCATCACGATTAGAGATCGCTATGGCGTTTTCAACATCTTCTCCCGGTGAATTTCCCTCTTCTACTTGACCAGCAGTAACATGATACCCTTCTGCCTCTTTTAAGCAGAATTCCTCCATAAACTTAGCATAGCTCGGGCCCGGATCCCTATCCGCAAGAACCGAATCCCGAAACTGCTCCCGGTTGGCTGACATCAGAACCCATGTTCTTTCACCATACTTAATGATCCCACACAGAAGCATAGGAATAGCGAGAAATGAAAGAAGAGTATCTTCCCATGCCAAAAGAGTGATATAAACAGCTGCAGCTGTTTGAACAACAAGCCCAAGCAAGTGTCTTAACCATAACTCATTATCGGCCAATGCGTATGCAGTTATGGTGTCAGGTCCGCCAAGATGAAGCAACAGAAACGGCGCCCAGAAGGCCATCAGCTGTAGATCTCCGTAGACGTTTTTGCGGTTGCCGTTGCCGGAGCTGCTGCCGGAATAAACGGAATTTCCTAGGCGGTCGACGAGGAGGCCAAGGGCAACGGTTGCTATCCAGTCGGCCAACAAGTAGGCACACCATATGAAAATTCTGATCCTTCTCTTGGCGATATACTTTCTCCGGTTACCACTGAAGATTAGAGATATTTGTAATACAAGGCTGACAACCACCAACCCTCTTAGCTCCCATTTGTTCCATTGAATTCTGACACTATCTGGGAAAACCTCAACCAGTCGTCTTTTTTGGTCAACAAGTAGCGAACTGCTGAAAACTGGCCAAAAGATTAACAGGTAAGTTATCTTTATAAAGTGTCACAAAAACAAAAAAGATTAGATTTTGATTCTGATTCTGATAAATATTGATCAACTCACAGCTGAATACCATTGTCTTTGTCGATAATTTGTGGGATGTGAAATTGTATGCTTTTATGAGTTGGTAAATGAAAACTAAACAAGTTGACCTGCAGGGGCGATGATCAAGGAAAGACTTCTAGCTGTTCACATGGTTGTAAAGTCAATGAACAAAAATGGCTGGTTACCTGTCGCCATTGTTAATTTGTCAGTAAATTTTTCAAGATTTTTTAAATGGAAGAATTCAATTGAAAAGCTAACAACGAATTGTTGGTTTGAAGCAGAAGATTGTGATAGGGTTGCAGCTGCTGAGAATTGATGGCATCTGCATATATAAATATGGTGGTAACTGATGCTCAATCGCAATGTAGCATCTCTTCCCTTAATTCATTCAAGAAAACAGAAGTATGAAGGCAACAGAGCCATCAATCTGCTCTTTAAACAGAAAACGATGGAACTAAATGGTTTTACCTGATTTCCATGGCTAAATCGAGCTCAGAAAGAGAAATTGGAAACCCTATCTTGACCTCCACTATAAAACAAAAACTGTAATTACCAATCTATATCAAACTCCACAATAATAATAGGTCGAGAATGGAAGTTAAAGTAAGAAAGATAAGAAATTATCTTCATTTTTGAATCAATTATAATTAAAGATCAACAACAATAATAAGATGCACTTGATCAATTCTTATGATAAGCGTAATTCATGGTGTGGGGTGAGATTAAAAGTGATCAACGGTACATATTCCTCCTTACACACGCTTCTCACCTTAACAATAAATACAAAAAGAGCTTAGAAGTTAGAAGAATCGATTTCCGTCATTCTGACTACCGCACTTCATCATTACCATTCGTAGTGCTTGAATTAAAATTAGCTGAAAGCACCTTGTATGAGTTTTATAACATGAATATCGAATCATAAAACCTAAATGATGCATGTAACTTACTAAAAGGTATATTTCATACTTAAACTAATGCAAAAACATTTATATCAATAAGATATTATTTGTACTGTATGCATCATGTGGATCTGTATCAAATGGTAATAAATCGCCCACGCTATTTCCTAAAATATATATATGATTAAGTCATATACATTGAATTATAAATGTCGTTTCCCACCTATAATATGGTTCTCGACGTCCCAAACATATCCATAAATGCTCCAACAACAAAGGTTTCATTCTATCGTGCGTCAAATTTTCCTTGATTACATACTTTATAACATAAAACATATCTATAAACACATTTATAAATCGACTAAATTAACCTTTATGTTTATTTAATAAATAATGTAATTATTTTAAATGAGTGACTCATATAAGATCTCACAAGTTTTAGGGTTTTCATTTGATTAAGTCCTTATAAACCATAAAAAATGAAAAACCGAAAAACATCCTTGTAATCATTTATCTGGAGGATATGCAGTCAAAAACAATCATGAAAAAAATATATCCTGTTAAATTGGATACAGAGTATCTTTTCATGTTCTTGAGTCAAACGTTACATTTGCCGCAAACCCCACAACTTTGTCACTTCTCCCGGCTTTATTCCACGGTCTAATGCGACGACTACCGTCGTTGACTTCAACCCTTCCCTCTCTCTCTCTCTCTAAAACTCTGTGGGAGTGTTATTAAAATCTTCAGAAAGTTTCATTTTTGACTTTTGGGTTTCTGTCATCTTGTAATTTCATCACTTGGGTACGTACCTTCCTTCTCTTTTCGACCTTTTTCACGAAGAAAACCCTAATTTCACCACAATTGACCGATTTCTCTTCATTTCTCATTTATTTTGTAGTGTTGACAAACCATCCTGCATCAATAATCGATGCTATAGGTTGAGGGATGAAGCTCTGCAGATTTTCAATTGGGTTGCAATAATTAAAGGTAATTTTGCTTCGTTTTCTTTTTGAATTATAGTTTGATGTGCCTATTTGTTCCTGTGATTGGTTTGCGAGTAATTATTCGATGGGTTTTTGATCTGAAGTGATTGTATAGTCGCCGGATTTGGTTTGAGTTTCAGATAGATTTTATGATGATTTGTTTTGGGTGTTTGCATTGATTATTGCCAATGGTGAAATTGTAATAGAAATTTTGATGTCGTATGAATAATATATTCATGATGTGTTAATATTATGAAATTAATCGGTGATCTTAGAAATTTTGCTAAAATCCTTATAAAATTACTTCCTCCTGTAATGAAATACACAACATTTTTACTCTAGTAGTAGTGTAATAAAGGAGATGGTTATGAACCTATGGTCTAAAACACCTTTTATTAGTAATCTTCCCTTTCCAAAGTAAAAGGAAGAGTGCCCTTTTTAGACCTTTCAATATGAATGCAACATTTCCAATTTTGGAAACATATCCATCGAGAGTTGTCTCTTTGCTCATTAGTAATGAAATTGCTGAAAAGGAATCATAGCAATTCTTATGTGATGATGAAAATTTCGCAAGTTTTATGGAATGCATGAAGTTGTGTGACGTCATTTAAAATGCGTAAGAACGAACGTGATTACTCTAGATAGTGATATGGTCTAAATTTACAGTAATGTTTTAGTTGAACTTTGTTTTCTTTTTGCTGTTGCAGATGACCTTCTTGCATCAATGAGTCAATACCAGAGCTAAAGGTACCACACTAGCAGGATTTCCACAGAGCTAGTAAAAGTTGAAGGTGAACATGCTTTCTGAATATTACATGTTTGTACCTATGTGTATAATTATGGTTTCCAAGTGATAGATTTTGATCTGTTATTCTTTATTTCACTTGAAAATATAGTGAACTGAATTATCTTCCTCTTTCTTCTGTATGTCCCAATATAAGTTCAACGAGTTTTCATTGTTGACTATGTGTGCAGAGAAAAGCGAAAGCTTATGCAATTCAGCATTGTAAGAGTCTCGTTTCTTGAGTTTTGACCCATTCGAACTTGTTTGCGTATCTTTTGACCAATAAGGTCTTTCTTTTGTGTTTTAATATTATTAACTCCAAAATAGTTGTTGATAGTTCTCTATCCGATCACTTCAATTGTGGTACTTATTTTACTTGGTTTGTCTTTTTTATAAGTGAACTTTCCTAGATATATTTTCATTCACAAAAAACTCTTTCGGTACCCATTAAGTCAGAGTTACAAAACCGGGTCCTTGTCATTAAATGGACAAAGTACAGTTCTACTCTCAATTCTATTCTGGATAACTATGGAAGCACGTAAAACAATGGCAAATCATACTCTTACTCGACGTGCTAACACCTTACCATGTGTTGATATTTGTAACAACTCCTCCCACATGGATAGAAAATGGGATCTGTGAGCTCCTTATAAGCCTCAAGTTGTGGGCTATCAATAACTTCCACCATGGTTTTAAGTTGGACTTGAAGTTATTGGGTCAACCTATTGCTTTGGGGAGTTACAGATGGTATCTGAGCCAAGCTTTTGGATAGAAAATGGGATTCGTGGGGCTACCAATAACTTTCACCATATGCATCCCATTATTTATTCAAGTGAGGAGGATTCAAATGGAGAATGGAAGTAATGGTGTATATGAATGTACCCATTCAGGGTTAGGTTTTGTAGATGCTAGTAACGTTTTCTATAACAATGTAGCATTCATATCTTGCATGTTATTATATCATGCTTTCCATTGTGGTTCAGTTACTCCTTTTTGTTTCTTCACTCGATCCCCTAAGACCGTGATCAGTTTGACCTTCTGTCAGACATCATCATTTGTTTTTTTTTTTCCTTTGCAGATACACTGAATCAAATGGCCGGGAGCTGGGATGAAAGTCATGAACTTGGTAGCCAATCAGATGATAGCTTTCAATATGAAAGACAGCATATAGAACCTATATATGATGCATTTATATGCCCTCTTACGAAACAAATTATGAGAGATCCTGTAACCTTGGAAAATGGGCAAACTTTTGAGCGCGAGGCTATTGAAAGATGGTTCAATGAGTGTAAAGAGAGCGGCCGGAAGCTGCTTTGTCCCTTGACATTGAGAGAATTAAAAACAACCGATATGAATCCAAGTATTGCTTTGAGGAACACAATTGAAGAATGGAATGCTAGGAATGAAGCTGTTCAGCTTGACATGGCTTGCAAGTCGTTAAATCCTGGTTGTCCCGAGACTGACATTTTGCGAGCTTTGAAGTTTGTTCAACACCTGTGCCAAAAAAATCTTTCAAATAAGCACATCATCCGCAACGCTGACTTAATACCTATGATTGTTGACATGTTGAAGAGCAGCAGTCGTCGAGTCAGGTGTAGAGCTCTGGAGACTCTTCGAATTGTGGTGGAGGATGATGATGATAATAAGGTTGGTATTCATTCAATAGCGAACAATCATGGAACTTTCTTGCTTTTTTCATTTGCAACTGAATGACAATTTTACGCTTAGTGATGAAGGGAGTAATTAATTTTTCCATCTCATAATTAAGAGCAGATTTGGAAAGTAGGCACTTACTTTTGAAAGGGAACACTTGTTTTGGGACAAACTAAAATAGAAATGTGGACACTTATTCTGGGAGGGACAAAATACTTTATATCTAACGACCATATCACTAAATCATCTTCGAATCTAAGCGCTGCCAAAGCCCTTGTCGCCATGGAGGTTCATCTGTGATGACTCCAAGTCATCCGTGGTTGCCCGGGGAATTAGTCGGTCCTCGTAAGCTGGCCCGGAAACCCAAGGTTACCCAAAAAAATTATCTTCGTTCTTGCACTATGCTTTAGATTACAAGCAATGATCTACTTTCAATTTAGTGACTAATTGAACTATCTTAATCTTGATTAAATTGAATAAAAATTGGATGAAGATGATGTAATTGATATAGTCGTGAGAATCTTATTACGTATGCCATTAGTAAATTCTTTTGTTGAAGTATGCAAGTGAAGAAGCCACGAAAGTTCAGCATTGACTATCTTGTCAACATTCAATCTATCATTGTTCTTGACTCTTCAACGCCATTGAAGTCAAATCTCGTCATTTATGTATGAAATTTCTTTGTTTCTTTGCAGGAAATAATGGCTGAAGGGGATAATGTGCGCACAATAGTCAAGTTTTTGTCTCATGAACAGTCTAAAGAGAGGGAAGAAGCTGTCTCTTTGCTCTTTGAGCTCTCGAAATCGGAGGCTTTGTGTGAAAAAATTGGCTCTGTTAATGGAGCGATCCTCATCCTTGTTGGAATGACAAGTAGCAAATCTGAAAATCTATTGACGGTCGAGAAGGCAGATAAAACTTTGGAAAATTTGGAGAAGAATGAAACTAATGTAAGGCAAATGGCTGAAAATGGTAGATTGCAACCTCTTTTGGCACTTCTCCTCGAAGGTACTTGCATCAATTTCTACATATTTTAACTAGTTGCTAAATTTGTTGGTCCATGCTATGCTGCTGAACACTTAAGATCAAACACACAACAGTTATTTTCGTTAAGTTTCATTGAATGATTGTCGAAAGGTACCATACCAGGTTGCTTGGTATTTGAGAGTAATTATTTGATTTTAGTTACAAGCACAAATTGTAACTTTTGAACCAAGGGGGTATCAAGAAAATGAAAATTAGGAAAACCCATATCTCGAAACTTACATAACATGGAGCTGATTGGGAGACAACTTCCGAGATTATGTTTTGATTTGGTAGGTGATAGATTGAACTAGATCTTTATTTAGTTTCTGGTCTCTTGTGGAACTCGACAAAGAAGACTCCGTTGTTGGGTCCAGCCGTAATTAGTAGAAAATTGAAGTACTTGGTTAGACAACAATTTTTTTAAGGGTTTAGCACGCAGGATAGGATGGGTCAGGACAACAAAAACTTGTACCATGTTGGTGTGACATTTAGGGACCATTTGGTTTGCGGGATTTGGTGGGATTTGGAATTGGATTCCATTCCAATCCTGAGCGGGATTTCATAGGATTTGTTTGTAACAATGTTCTAAAATATGTTCGGAAAACTTGTTTTGTAATAATTAATTAATAAAAAGGTGATTTAATTATTTTTATAAATTATTTTTATAAAGAATGGGATTCAATTCCATTCCAAATCCTTCCAATGCCAAATCCGTCAAAAATATTCCATCAAAAGGAACAGGTCCTTAGGCTGGGACAGGACATGACTTTACCAAAATAGGTGGGAAAAATCATGGAAATGGGACAAGATTGGGAAATTACTAACTTAGCCATGTCAAATTAAAACCCTAAACCCTCCACAATTCTTTCACTGGCCTATCTCACTCTCGTCATCCAGTCCTGTCCCGTGCCGGCTTGTCCAGTCCTGTCCCGTGCCGGCTTGTCCAGTCCCGTCTGCATACCAAACTCACCCTTAACGTAGACATGTGTGGACTATGGTTTTTGGCCGTTTATCTTAAAGGGTGTCGAAAAGAGACTAAATTGGGAGATAGTTATCAAAATAGAGACCATCATTTCAAAAGTAATCGATTCGTTATGATTTGTAGGAGTTCTGGCCTATAGATTTTGTCAAAGTAGGTTTCTGCATTTGAATTCTTAGCAGGATGACTCTAAGAAGTGTTTTTGTCAAAATAGGTTTCTGCCAACTGGAATTTTTCTTTCTTTTGCATTTTGCAAGTATGCGGGCTTTAAAAATGAAGTACATGGTATAATGGTCCGGAATGTTAAATACTTGGATGCTTTCAGGTTCTCCAGAAATCAAACTGTCCATGGCTTCATATCTTGGCGAGCTGGCTCTGAGCAACGACGTGAAAGTCTTTGTGGCTAGAACCGTGGGTTCATCGTTGATCAACCTCATGAAGAGCGGTAATATGCAGTCTAGAGAAGCAGCCCTAAAAGCCCTTAATCAAGTCTCATCTTGCGAGCCAAGTGCCAAGATCTTGGTCGACGAAGGTATACTTTCACCTCTTGTCAAGGACCTTTTTGCGGGCCCAAACCAGCTCCCTATGCGACTCAAAGAAATTTGCGCTACAATACTCGCAAATGTAGTGACCTCCGACTGTGACTTTGACTCGATCCCCGTGGGTCCCAACCACCAGACCCTTGTGTCCGAAGACATAATTCATAACCTACTCTATTTGATCAGCAACACTGGACCCGCAATCGAATGTAAGCTTCTACAGGTCCTTGTTGGACTCACCAGCTCCCCTATTACTCTAATTGGTGTTGTTTCTGCTATCAAAAGCTCGGGAGCCATTAACAGTCTGGTTCAGTTTATCGAAGCCCCACAACAAGATCTTCGTATGGCTTCGATAAAACTTCTTCAAAATCTCTCTCAAAACATGGGTCAAGAGTTAGCCAGTTCGTTACGTGGGACGGCTGGTCAGCTCAGTGGTTTAATCAAAGTGATCGGGGAAAACATTGCGAGTACTGAAGAACAAGCGGCAGCGGTCGGGCTTCTAGCCGATCTTCCGGAAAGAGATATGGGACTCACTCGACAAATGCTAGATGAAGGTGCATTTGAAATTGTGATCTCGAGAATCATAAAGATTCGGCAAGGAGAGCCGAGAAGAAGCCGTTTTGTAACGCCATATCTAGAAGGGCTCGTTCGTGTCCTTTCAAGGATCACGTTTGTTTTGGCTGACGAACCAAAAGCCGTTTCTTTGTGCCGTGATCATGATCTTGCCAGAATTTTCACTGAACTGCTTCAGGCAAATGGGCTCGACAATGTGCAAATGGTTTCAGCTTTTGCTTTGGAGAACTTATCTCAAGAATCCAAAAACATGACCAGACTCCCAGAGTTGCCGACACCCGGATTTTGCGCATCGATCTTTCCTTGTTTCAGCAAACAACCCGTGATGACGGGATTATGTCCGGTTCATCGTGGAACGTGTTCACGAACAGACACTTTCTGTCTATTAGAAGGACCGGCTATAGCAAGATTGGTGGCGCTTTTAGATCACACGAACGAGAAGGTAGTTGAAGCATCGTTAGCTGCACTATCGACTTTATTAGACGATGGGGTGAATATAGAAGCAGGGGTGGCCGTGTTATGCGATGCGGAAGGAATCAAGCCGATTTTTGACGTTTTAGTCGAGAAACAAACCGAGGCATTAGGGAGACGAGCGGTTTGGGTGGTGGAAAGACTTCTACGGACCGAAGACATAGCATATGAAGTTTCAGGTGATCCTAATGTTAGCACAGCACTCGTGAACGCATTCCAGCATGGCGATTATCGAACACGTCAAATTGCGGAACGCGCCCTGAAACACGTCGACAAGATACCGAACTTCTCGGGCATCTTTCCGCCCACGTGATCATATGCAGTCAAGAAGCGAAGGTATGTATCGTTATTTCCACCACCATTCATTGTACAATACAAGGTTTTTTATCGTGTAATTCAATATTGTTTCGATTATACGCTATCAAGGTGAAACAAATTTTACGAAAACAACTCGTAAATGATGACAACTGTCATCGTCCAAGAGCGGTTTTTGTAAAGTTTATACATTGCCAGTGTATAAAAAGATGTATGATATTTTGATTAGAGGTGTATAAATTTTGGTTTGTTGTTTGAATTGAGGACACTATGAGTCCAAATTGTGCAGTTCCTGTCTTTGAATTATTTTTGAATGTGTTCTAAAAAGCTCGCCTTCATGGCTCAAGGCTCGTCTTCGATGTCACGTCGAGTCCATGGCATGTCATGGTTTTATGTACGGTTCTCGTAAGGTGTTATTTGATTTGTTTGATCTTTTTAATGTTATATTTTTTTAGTTTTTAGTATATAACATGATTTAAGTTGTTCAATACCAATGACTCATCGAGTAAGAATAGAAATATGTGTATGAACGTATAATTGTATATGAGATATATAGATTGTGCGCAGGGGTTGCGCTTCAGGTCAGTGGAGCGACTCTCATACGAATTTTCAACGTATTTGGCGAGCCTTACTTGATCAATCAATGTATCAAAGAAAGTCATTTTTCATAAATGAAACCATATGCCATTGATCTTGAGGGTTTAACTCGTTGACGATGAGATTTAGGTTTTTGGGACTCCTCCTTAGATCATCGGTTTGAGTTCCTCGAATTTCATTGGAAATTTACATGGTTTTTTTCTAGGCTCTCATAAAATTGGTCGATGTGTATGTAATTGTAAGCCGACTCAAACACCCACCAAATAAGAAAAACATGTCATTAACGATTTGATAATTAAATTTGTATATAACAGGATTATGATAATTTAAACATGTAATTCTACAAAAGCTCAATAATTGGAGTTATTTGTAAAAATGTATATTTTTCATTACTTTTTTCAAAAATGACAAGATCTTTTTAATAATATAATTTGTTCAAAGTAAAATATAATTTTTAATCGTATATTTTTGTCTCATAACCAGTCCTGACAAGGCCATGAATTTCTATAAAAATGGTAACCGGTTATAGATCGTCCGGTCCTCGTCCTCTACCGGTCTTGCCTGCCCAGAAGAAGGTAGAGGGAAACAATTTGCAATGGTCAAGAATCAAGGGGGCATTTCCGTAATATCTCAATGTCAAGGGGGCTAAATGGATAATAACATTAATTAATCTGATGTGTCGGAGCCGGCCAGAAACGCCAGGTGGCTCTTTTTGATTGGTTACTACACTCTTCTTCCACGTAACTAAACTCCCCCTTCAGCGGTCACTTTTTTAAATCGCCGTTTATGGAAGGAGCGTGTGTTTGAAGGTGTATGTGTGCGCCGGAGGGAAGAGACAGAGAACAAGATGGCGTTGACGGCGGCGTTGCGACGATTGATCTTCGTGGCGGCTATATTTATCGCTTTATCTATAGCTCATTCCATCGATGACAAATGTTCAGCTTGCAATGCCGTTGCTGTGAGTATTCAGTCCATAATTTCTTTTTGAAATTATTTTATCAGTAGTTTGTTATTCCACATCCATTCATGCTTTTGTGTTATGTTAATTGAAATATGTGCCTTGATTATTGGATGATTGGATAAACTTCTCTGTTTTTTTATGACCAGATTAAACATTTTCGGCATAGGAAATCAAAACATATCCATACATACTTCCTTGAAAACATAAATTTTCATAGCGATCTACTTTTAGGTTTGAACTTAAGAAGATATCTGTTAAAGAATCTCTGTGATTTGTCCGCATACACAAGAACTATGATGTGGGGATGTACTATTTGCATGGGAGACTGTTCTTTGATCCTTTATTTTGTGGTGAAATCGAGTATTTCTCTATTGGACACTATGCATTTTTGCACATATGGCAGATAATACAAATTTAGAACTGATTTGCTTGCGAGCTTTTGGTTGAAAATAAAATTGATTAGGATATCTGTTCTGGAAAATTAGTTTCTATGATTTGTTTTGATAATAAGAAGCTTGTCGTGGTGATAGAATTTGCATTTAAAGTGTACTCTGCTTTCTAGTTATTTGATTTTTGTGGTGCAATTTAGCATTTTCCCACTAAATTTGGCTTTTGTACATCCTCAAAGACACAACTCTTAATGAGAGCCTTTGGAGTTTTTATTTGAGAATCAACAAGAATGGAAATGTTTTTGGTAAGAATATCAATCAATCTATTGCTTTTATATTTTGTAGGAGGAGCTGGAACTCGGAATGATGAAGGTGTGACTTTCTCCCTTTCTCCAAAGCATTATATCATTCCTGTATCATGATTTGAACTGCTGAAATTTCCTATTTTGGAAAGTGTTCCAGAGTCCTGCTTTCAGAACCCCTTTCCTGAAATGGGAGTGGTGATGGAGAAGTTGAGCAGAGAAAGAAAAGGATCGAGGAATATCTAACGAAATTCTCACGTTTAATGGGTTTATACGTCACAAAACAAGGTTTTAGAGGAACCAATTAAATACTGCTGTTTAATGGATCAATATGTAAGAAAACAAGGTTTCAGAGAAACCAATTTAATACTGCTGTTGAAGATACCATCAGCAGAAACTGCTCAAACTTTTTTTTTTCCATTCAACAAGTTATCCCATCTTACCAGAAAGATACCATCAAATAATCACAAACCGAACTAGTGTCAAAATAACATTCAGGGTACATTTGGGACCCAAAATTTAAATGAAATGAGCGGCACACGTCCAAGCCAGAGCAGTAAACTAGTCCACTAACCATCTTGGCTGTGAATGTGAACTATTAGCTTCTTAAAAAACCTTTTGATGGTAGGTTACTAATAAATTATTGATGTCCTTGTGTAAAGCTAGCCTAAAGCAACAGACTACCCTAATAACTTCCATGTCAATTCAGGCCATAGTGGGAGGTCATTAGGAGCATTCTACTAAAGGCATAAGGAGCCCGCAACTGACAATCACAGCTCCTGTGTGACATGTTGTTACAACCTTACTGTTTTTGACGACTTGGCCTTTCTCAAGTGAGAAGTGCATATAATATGTTTCTGAACTTCATATAAGTACTGAACACATATCTTACCTAGTATCAAGAGCATATTATTCCTCGCTTCATATTCAAATCTTGACTGACCTCTTTGCCCTTGTAAATGGAGAAATGTAAATAAGATATTTTCAATCTCATATCAGTACAAATAAGCATAATTTACCTTGTACAAGAGGATTATTATCGCACACTTCATACTGAATTCTCAATTTGCAAAGGTTATTGTTCCATCTCAATAGGGGAAAAGAAAGATCATTGCATTCTTGAACTGTTCTATGTATCAAAGTGTCGATTCTTTTTCCATGAGTATACTCATTTTGTATCTTATCATTTGTTATTATTTCATTGTTCCAGGAGAAACCAAAAAACCATCTGGATATGAGACATCGCTTGGACTCCAAGGGTCAGCGGAGAGGGAAGGTAATAGATTACAGGTAAAAATTCAGAACATTCTCCTCTCTGTATTGGATATTAATTACCTTTCGCATTAAGTTATGGCATATATGTTTGTGTAAGGTTAGGTATCTGATGTATCTCAAAATGTGAGCATACCTTGATGGTCGGAAGTTCCAGGATGGGTGTATAATGCTATAAAGGTTTTAAGGCTGATGAGTTACGCACTAGTGAATGGAGTTTAGTGGCCTCTCTTTTAATGGTAGTACGAAGCGTGAGTCTACTTAGGATACCTTCAGGTCTTATCCCTGTAAGCTGAAGTTTTAGATGACTAAGGGTTCCTAATCACCATGGGATGATGCCTATCTGATAAGGAGGGCTAGGACTTCATATAAGTGAAATGTTTTATAGAACGACTGCCATACTTTAACTTCATTAGCAGGGAAGGTGGCCTTTTGTCAAATGCTTTATTTTTTATCAAACCTTTTGGTTCAGTGTGTTACTGCTAGGAGGAAAACATCAATTTGGATTCTCTAATGACGGAGGTAACAAGTTCTAAGTAGTATCTTCTTCCGTTAAGATTGTGGGCTGTCAAGCATAGTTACTTTCCATTCTGAGCTGTCAAATATAGATCCTCAATGGTATTTCTGTAACAGACCATAATAAGAATCAAGGAAGTGTGTCTAACTAATATTAGTGAGATGCTTGGACTGATGCACCTAGACCCTTTGTCTTAAGACCCACACTCTGAACCAATTAGGAACCATAAAAGAGGCTAAAGAAACAAAGAAGATTTATTATCATTTGACCAATTGGGAACTATAACAGAGGCTTTTGCATTTTACATGTGATGGAAACTGTAGGGAAGTTTATGCTAGAATTAGATGCTTATAAGAGATGACAAATTAAACAAATAGGCCGTCACCAATCGCCAATGAACAAACTGTTCGATACGATCGGTCCAAAATGTTTTAATTTGCAGGCTTTCTAGTTGGCCATGAAGAAACCATTGACTAGTATGATACTATTGATAGTTTTGTACACTCAATTAGCCATATCATGACTATTTTAGATAAGATGGACCACGTGAAAGTGCTTTGGTTCACAGGGTCTTTGTTACTATGATCAAATCCTTATGAGTTTGCTTTAGACGTCTATAGACCTGCCTAACCTATCAGGAATAAATTGTTTCTTTGGGTTTGTTAAGCAAGTCTATAGACATCTCTAAAGCAAGCTCATATAATAATTTGATCATAGCAACACCTTGTGAATTAAAGGACTTTCACACGATCCATCTTATCTAAAATCAGCCATGATATGACTAATGAGTGTACAAAACTACCATTAGTATCATACTAGTCATTGGTTTCTTCATGGCCAACTAGAAAGCCTGAAAAGTAGAAGATTTTGGAGTGACTGGATTGAACCATTTATTCACTGGCGAAAACAAGCGACCCCCTATTTGTTTAATTTGGCGTCTCTTATAAGCATCTAATTCTAGCAGAAACTTCCATGCAGTTTCAGTCACTTGCAAAACACAAAGTGGTATAACAATGTCTCCGTACTTTTGGGTTAGTGTACTTGTCGATCAGAAATAAGTTGAGTTTATTCATCCTTTTGGTCTAAATATCATTTCCTTCAAATGAGTAAGCCATCAATCCTACACACAAGCATTTTTTATAGTGGATATGATAACATAATGAGCAACTTCTATTTTACAGAACCAGTGAGCTGAGAGTCGTTGACCTCCTGGATGGGCTTTGTGATAAGATGCAAGACTATACTCTTCAGAAGGTAATCTTTCTGCTTTACCTGTCATCATGTTCCTGCAAATGATGTAATGAAGTGTTAACTTTTTTTTCATTTGCTACACTGAAAAGAAAGCTCTTTTTTTGGTTCTGCAATCATGATCTTTGAAATGCTTAAACCTATCATGCATTAGATATCAATATATGCAACACTGCATGAAATGTCATCATTTTGGTAACTATTTGTCAATACCATTACGCATCTGCCAGTGTCTCATCTAGTCACTGGTGCTTTGTGATCCTTTATGCAGATGGATTCAACGGAAAAAGTCTGGATTAAAGTGGATAGCTGGGATGACATCACTAGTAGTATGTATTGGTGACAACTTCCTTCAGTAAGCTTGTCTTATACTTGAGCTTGACAGGACTAAGTTATATCCTGTGACTAAGCCACCATGGTTCTTTCATCTTAATGAATTCATTTACCTAATAGCATTACATGCTTTATTTGTTTCAGAGGGTATAAGTTTGTCATTTCGTTCTATAAGTAGTCTCACTCATTATTCACATATGATGCCAGAAAGCTGCCTAAATATTCCAAGTGGTCTACTCGTACAAAGCATAACTTTCTAGAACTTGCAACTAGGGTTGTATTTAAGTCGAGCTGAGCCTTGGCTTGCTTGGCTGGAAATCTTATCTTGGTGTAAGCAATTCATAATCATAATTTCTGAAATCACCATCTGGTTTAACATCTGAGATTTTGGAGCACAGTTCCTCCAATACATAGTTTGGCAAAAGTTCGAATTTCTATGCCATTGATAAAAACCACTTGGTGTTATGTTATCTAAAAGAGAACTACAATAGACAAGCGATCCCCTCTCCTTCCCTCCTCTTGTACCTTCCTACCCCATCCCCAAACAAAAACATAGCGATCCCCTCTCCTTCCCATAGGTCGCCAGTTAAGGCCAGTGAGGATTTTCCTGGCTGTTATCTTCTTGGTTCATGGGATTAGTCGAGGTGGCTGCAAACTAATTCGGACACCCACAGTTGCCCAAAAAAGCATAATGTTCCCCCATCATTCCCCTCTTGCAAACATCAAGTTTACTTCATGATCTGCTATTGCCATTGACCAAGTCCAGAAGTCCTCTGGTGTTATGTAGTTGAAGCCTTTTAATGCTTATAATGTGCAAATCCTATTACTTTAGTCATTTTCTGGGAGATCTTGTTTGCATTGTCTGAGAATCTGTTCTTCCCATGTATAGATAAGCAGGAATCTCGTGCTTACTCAAAGGAGATATCATCTTATTGTGGAAGGTAAGATGAGAAGCCCGTTCACCTTAATCAAAGTTCTCTTGGTATGCTGTTTACTTGGAATTTTATAAACACTTTCTGACCAATTTAATTGCTTTGCATTCTTATTCCAGGTTACTGGAGGACACCGAAGATGAGGTGAGTCGAACCTTTCTGAAACTAATCCTTGGTTGCTGAGGTTCTACCCATTTCGAACATTTCATATTTCCATTTTGTGAGCTCATCAATCAGAAAGGAAAGAACTTTGGGACCAGAATGGATGGAAATCCTGTTAAATGAATGGAACCTAAGATCTTTTGGTTCGTTCATTGTGGTGTTTATGCAGCTGGCAGAATTGATAATGAAAGGATCGGTAAAAGTTGGAGAAGTGAGCAAAGTTCTGTGTCATGACCTTAGCAAACATTGCAAGCAAACAAGGTAACTTCGATGCCATTTCCAATAATTGATTTTATAGGCGGCGTTTCGATTCGATAGACATTTAACAGTACTTGTGCTAAATGTATTTACTTGAAAAAGAAGTGAAAGTGATATTTACAACCAGCAAGTGAGATGTTGATAGTTTTAGGGATCTGTCTGGTACACGGAACGGTACAAAAACTTGTTGTCCCACGTTTGGTGTAATATTAAATTAAAAACTCTAAAATCTTCCACAATTCTTTCACCCACCTGCCTCACTCTTCGCCTGGCCTGTCTTGTCCACTCCCAGTCTTCCTGTCCGTGTTCCAAATGCATTTTAACGTACAAGCATGTGAAGCATCAACAACTTGTGGCTCGAAAATAACTTAACCGATAAACGTTTGTATGCAGTGATTACCATCAGTCGAGCAACAATGAAGAAGTTAACGACGAACTTTGAGAACCAATGATTGTGCAACTGTAACCAAAACAGCATGATGAACGATGGCAACGCCAAAGCACGCCGATATCAATACTAATTTTGGCGACCTTTTGGAACCCTACCTAACATTTTATTAGATGGTTTGATGTTTACTAGGATTGTGTTTTTGATCCTTCATTTTCTTGTATGGATTCAACATATGATCAAATTCATCCCAAAGAAGGGACAAAAAACAGGTTTACCGTTGGCGAAACCGGAGTCCGGCTCCATTTATTGATGCATCTTTAGTAATACCAAATCCGAACTCAATATGTTATCGCGAGAAAGTCATAACCTCAATTTGATGCATAATGGGTTCATGAAAACGAGTTAAAAGATAACTAGGTGCTTAAACTATGAAGAACTCGAAATGATTGTACAATGGGAAGATAATTAAACAGCAAAATGTACAGAAGCTTAAAATAAAAAAAGAAAACCACAAGAAAGAAAAACGTCAATAATTTCGGTCTTATTTTCCCAAAACGAGAACACAAAGTAATCGTAAAGGAATGAAACGTTACCAAGAGTTATAAACACAAACCGTTTCATGACACCACGGTCAAGTTCGATGGTCACCTCACGAGTTACCGTCCAAAATGCCTTTGAGAAAATTTAGCCCTTCAGAAGATATGCTCCTCCTATGTCCTGTTTGGGTCTGTATCTCGATCCACGGGGGTGGATCTGGCGAAAAACATATCACGATTACCGTTAAATTATCACATGTATTCCGTTTAAGAGCTTCACGAACGAGCTCTCTCGAGCATTTCTCCGGATCGTTATGAATCATCAATTCTTTTCGAGCTATTGTTACGGCACACTGACTGCTCATGACATCCCAAAGTCCATCGCATCCCATAATAAGAAACTCGTCATCTTCCATCAACAAGATTTCTTGCAACTCTGGTTCGGAACTTAACGGGCAAGCAGAACCTTTCGGGCCTTTCATGTGCCAATCCCCAAGAGCTCGAGCAACGGATAATTGGCCGTTTAGGTAGCCATCATAAATGACACCACCGAGTTGTTCAATTCTATGTCTCTCGGATGTACTATTAGGCTTGTGGTCGTTCGACAATTCTATTGCTCTGCCTCGTTTCCCTAAAACTGCCCGACAATCACCAGCATTTGCAACTACCATCATCCTGTGCCAAATGAGGTACATCATCTCAGCAATCCAATATAAGTGTTCATATTTCGATTTTAGTTTGTCCCCACATAAATGTCTACTTTCAATTTTACCCTTAATTATGACATGTACTCTACCAGTATTAAAAATAGACGGGCTGATATGGGACTTCGGGCTATCTGCAAAGCAGGTGGTCACCCCTGGGATTAGTCGGCTCGCATAGCGGTTTGGATATCCAGGTTAATAAAAAAAAAGACGGGCTGAGTAATAATTAACTATGTTGCAAAGACATTGATATGCAATGCATGGATTCAGAAATTCCAAACCTCAACATCGAGATGTCTTTAGGTGTATATATATTGGGGTTGTCTGTGTGGATTAATCTCTGTGTATAGATTGAGAATGTTTTTGTTTGGTAAGGTTTTTTATAGATGGAAGGAGCGTGTTTTTTAATTGGGAGACGCAGGTGTGGAAAAAACTTAACTTCCTGTAAAAAGTTCCATCCTAGAAGCTTACTGAATAAGCCACTGTCTATACCATTAAGCCACTACCAAACAGTCATGTATGACTGACCGAATAAGCTGACTCCCATTAAGCTCGTTAAGCTGCTAACAAACAGACCCTTAGTTATGTGTTTGTGTTTGAAATCAAGTCTAAACGAAAAGGAAAATCGTCTCATATTGCATAGATTAATTTCATGAAATAAACACATCGATAACTATGGATGCAGCCTCTCTACTTTTTGTGTAAAGGTAAAGTCTGCATACATCTTACCCTTCCCGGTCCCTGCTTCGTGTAGGATTTACCAAGTTCGTTTGGTATGGTGTGCTTTTTTTAGATTGTATCAAATGTTTGGGTCTTAAATCCTCATTTTATGAACATTGTGAATTTCCATCTATCTTATATTTCTAGAAAAAACTATTCTGCCTCTGGGCACACAACCAAACCCTCAAAATACTACACCATAGAACATCCTAGATTTGACAAGGAGTACAAGCACTATTAAGAGAAAAGTTCAAATGAGAACCATACATATTTTGAGAGGTTAGGAACCAACTATTTCATGATGAATAACCTTGAATAATCATGAATATCACGCATTCTCATAATTCATGATATAATGCATCTTTATCATGAATTTCAAAAGTATTTTCATTATGAACAACATTCATTACGAATAAAGCATGAATACTTGGTTCTCAAAATTTACGGTTCTTGTTTGAACCTCCTCCCCCCACCAAAAAAAAACCTCTAAACCAGATAGTAGAAACATGTAAGTAGAGCTCCTCGATCATAATTCTAAAGTGATTCTTAAACATGAAAATAAAAAGAGGCTCACCTACCTTCCAAATATGAAAGTGGTCAACGCAGTGGTTCCTGAAGAGACGTCAAGAGTGCTGTTCTCTGCAAATGCTTGATCAGCTTTGATGTATGCATTTCGTATTGCCTTCTTCAAGCAACCAGGGAACTGAGAATCCTCGAGTATGAACTTCAAGATGTTCTTTCTAACATAAGATGCAGCATCGGTACCACCATGACCATCAAAAACCTGTTGGACATAAAATCACAATGGTTGATCTAAAGAAATTTTTACAAGCCTATTCAACATCTTGTCTAGATATAGAACTCTTCCAGAAGCAATACTAAATGTAAGGGTATATAAAAAAAAAGAGCATAGCAATCCACAAAACCTAATTATCCAAGGGACTAGGACCAGTATCAGAATTATACCAGCCCACCAATTGTCAAGAGACTCTTTCACAAGCATTATTCATCGTAAGGGTACACAAAAGAAAGCCTAATATGAAATTAAACTAAACCAAAGAGGCCCAGTACATCCAACCTGAAGGTAGGGTGGAAGAAAAAGGGGAGGAGAGGGGAGGGCTCGCAATCCTAATATGCATTTGTATAGTGTAATCAAGATCTATAACCAAGGATAACAATAGTATGGAATCCCCCGTAAGGTCTACCTAGCAGGCCCTACTTGCCATCTCTGTTTACTTTTTTCTTGGCACCTTTTGCCCCACTAATCCATCAGTCCATGCAAAGCAGCCCTCTTCACGTGGACCAAACAAACTTTAGGCCTTTCCGCCAGCAAACATGGCCCCACTTGCCGTTTGTCCGGTGACCTTTAAAACACCTTTCATCTCAAGGGTATGTAGACGAAGAGCAATAATGTGTAACCCAATTTATTGTGAAGGCTAGAAGTCAATACTTAATAATTGCATCTGTATTCAACAGGTCAGCTTTTACAGCTGAAATCATTTTCATCGACTTTAGACTTCAGTCGCTATTTATCAGAGGCAAGTTACTAAAATTACCTCAGCCATCATAACTTTCACACTTACAGCTGATATTAATTGAGTTAAAAATGTTGGCCACATATTCCCAGCATCTGTGGGCTGATTCAGAATAAAAATCCAAGTGAGCATAACCTCAATGCTATCCTGTACCCTGGCCATATTTGCAGATGGAAACCTATAGTAGAAGGGGAGATATTCTGACCCAGTTTTAAACGAAGCAAGGGTACAGTTTTAGAAGCAATTGTTTATGAGTTAAAGCATAAGAGATATTGCTTGCACAAAACAAAACATCTCACTTCAACAATCTATATACCATATGGAAGAGCCAAAAAACATAGCAAACCTCCAAAAATCCCCAAATCATCAAAATTCTACGAAAAACAACTTTGAAAAATGAACTACGCACAGCTTCAAATGCAAGTTTTTGTATTAGTAGAGCCTTGACCTTTAAACCAGGAGTTCGCCTTTGAATTCTAGTTCTGAGTTTTGAATCTATAAGATTAGTTATTTGTTGACCAACTGTATATCTAACAAAGTTAATTCTCTATGTGTGTGGTGTTTCCAGATTAAATGTTGACTATCAAATATTCAAGACTAACATCACATTTGAGGACTTGAGGGAACAGTTTCAATAGTCCAAATTAGACCCCCCTTTCTAAAAAGAGAAAGGCAATTCATAAACAATTGTTGTCACAAAAAGATCCTGGTGTAACATCAAAGAAAAACATATTGACCAGATCCAGTAGGAAGTGAACACGGTGCTCAAATAGAAATTATTACTTTAAGAAAAGAAGGCAGCATAGATATATACCCCATAGAAAGCTCCAGGGGAAGGGAAACCTTCTGTTCTGTCTAGATGTTCTAGAAGGTTGTCTATACATATATGTTCATCTTCCATGTATTCCTTTGGCCCTTTCTCTGCACAGCTTCCTGATCGAATCATGGGCATATATTCGGATTTTCCATCTGAAGCTGACTTCACGCCAACAATCCCAAGGTCAAAGCTCTAGCAAAGTTAAATGAGTGTTAGATGCAGGGTTTTAAGTAAGACATTGGTATACATATACATGAGCAGTTTTTAAAACAAGACGTGTGTCATAATCCACATAATGAGTTTTTGCATATATTCATCATTGGATAGTAAATGGTCGCACTTCTTGTGATTTGAGATCCACATATATACTTTACATGGAGTCATTGATGGCATATAAAAGGCAGACTCATAAAGAGATAATTTTCTTTACATCATCAATGTACAAAGTGTTTTACACAAGCGGCTCTTAAAGATCATCATATGCCCCATAAGCACTACAAATAAGGCAGTTTTGAACATAGATTACTGGATAATAAAACATGAGAAAAAGCCATATGTGCAAATTACTTGTTATACTAAAAACATACAAAAATGGACTCCTAAATTGAGCATCAAAGGGAGGATGCAAGAGTTTCTTATGAGGGCATAGTAGCCTCTAAAGTTGCAAGGTTTCAATACCCTACCGAAAAGAACTAACATAAATGGTCAAACTATATATAATAAGCTAATACATTACAGATATGTTCCATCGTGCTTCCCTTGGTTCTTTCCCTCCTATTGTTCGTCTTTCTTTCTTCGTTAATTTTCCTGCTGTTGTGTGTGTTCCTTTTTTTTTGTGGGGGGGATGCAAGTTGAGGGCTGTTGTGATAGGATTATATGGTTGGCTACCATGTAGATAATTTTCGAACTTTCCATAGTTGGAGAACGGAATTTAAAATGAAGAAATAAAGGAGATAAAATGTCTTTAATGCATTTAAGCTATTCCTTCTGTCTCAAAAATATGCCGTTTTCACCATGACTCTAGTATCTAAAATGATCTCAATATTGACAAGATCAATACCGCCGATAAATTGTAATAATCACCAGTGCACAAAAAAGTAATAAGGATTGAAATTTCACCAAGAAAGGAAAATGTTTACTTTCCGGGAAGGATGTTGCATGTTTTGGGACCGAGGAGGGACAACTTTTCCTTTGAATGAAAAACACAGTTAACTCATCAACGGAAAACAACATGGTAACTAGATGAGATCACATTTTATCAGTTCAAGCCTTCATTACATAAAGAAAATATGGTGCGGTTTAAAAATATTAGCTTATCATCCAAGGTAGTTAATGGTGTTCGGCACACCTGATGTACAAGTCTACGACTACTCCTGTGGTGCTTGCCTTTCTCCTAAAGGAAAAATAAAGAATATTACTAAATCTTCAATAATAGACTTTGGCCGAAAACCTAGAGTTACAACGGGCACTCAAAAAGTTGGATTTGAAACCATATTGTGTAATCCTAACGCTTGTAATTTGCTTATAATCTGATTAATCGAGCAATTATTAGTCTTGAAACGACTATCATAGCTACTACCATAACTTTTAACAAAGACAACTAAATCAAGATATGAAATATGAAATGGCAAGAAAAAAAGAAGAAATTGGAGTATAAAGCTTATAAGGCAAGAAACCGAGAAATGTAAAGAATTTTAATATCAGCGCTTCACCACCCTTTTTGCTGCCTTGTCGGTAAGGCACACACTTTCTTACCAATGTTTCCATGGCTGCAGCTGATGGCAACCTTCAGATTCCAAGTGCATCTTAACTACATTACTTTCATAACTTGATCATTTCAAACACAGAATTGAGATGCGTATTTTCATCACAATGGCTTCAAACATAACACAAAACAATTCAATAGACTATAAATCCTTAGCTCCCATTAGGATGTTCTTATACAAAAGGAAAGAGAATCATCCAAGCATGAATGGAACAACCAAAAATTAACATATAATTTTCTAGTTAACAAAGAATAGCATGAATGAAAAACTGAAGATTTTCACAAAGTAAAATGCTTAATCAAGTTTCAACATGGGAAATGATTTATATACCGGATCTGTAGGAGTCAACAGTGTTGCAGTGCTTATGCTATGCCGAACAACCGATAGATGCCTCGGAGGTTTTCCGATATCCAGTTGATTCAAGTGGTCGGAATTCTGTGATATCTCATGTTCTCCGCCGGACATAATATCATTGGTAAAACCATCTTCTACGCCGGTGCCAGCAGCCATAATCTTTTTTATAACATAAAATCGCCAATCCGGACTAATTTCCCTTCCGATAGCAACTAATAAGCCTTCGCAAAATTCTTGGAAGTTATACAAATGGAAACAACAAAAAATATGCCTAATTATTCAACATCTGAAAGAGATTAAAACTTACTATTTCTCCCCAATACTCCAACTTAGACTCATGAAAAACAATCATAAAAAGAACCCACTTGAATCTCCCCGTATATCCCTCTCTTTGCTAAAACAACTTCAATTTTTTCTTTTAATTCCATTGCAAGTCCAGTAATCTACACAAAACCCCTGATCATGCAACTTCAAAGATCCGATGTTTTTGGTCTACCAATGATCACTTCTTAATCAACAGACACCCCAAAAATAAAACCTCGGTGACAGTAACAATAATCGCAATTTCCCACCAAATCTTGGCCAACTGAACCTAGATATTGAACAGAAAAAATACAAATCTTGTACAAGCAACGGAATCTAGAGAAAAAACCCTGGTTGTATATCTCGGATCATACACGAAGTATGAAGTTCACAAATCACGATCCAATCTTTGACTATAATTAAACATCATGGTAGATTTGGTAAAGAGAAATCGCTCCCAGATGAAGCAGCAGATTGTGATGCTTATGTTGGCCTATTTATCTCAATTATCAGCCAATTTAAGAAACCCTAGAAAGCACTACTTGAAGTAGAAAATCAGAGGGGAAGGGGGAAAAGGAGGTATTTATTGATGAAAACACTAATTACATTTAGACCCCCTATATTTATGAACAATTCCTGATCACCCCCCACAAAATTATTTATTGCACTTTTGACCCATGAAATTAACACTTACAGTTTTTTATATATAATATACACGGTCTATTATTTCAACTCTAGTAAAAATATACGTAAGTATCTCTTAATTGTAATAAACATAGGTAAGCATTTACCCAGCAAGTGCTTATCGGATAAGGAAATTTTTTTACCCTTGATATATTCATCAGGTAAGAAAAATTACCCGGTAAATACTTACTGAGTAAATGTTTAGTAAACGGCCCCTAAATTGGGATGGTAAAAGGATTTTTAGATATTCATGATCAAACAAATATTTTTGTTAGATAGATAATGGATTATATAAACGTGTGAGCGTTTGTGTGTGAATAAAAGTTAAAGTGAGAAGCGTAGGAAAATATCTGAATCATTGATCACATTCAATATCAAATCCATTCATTAATCGCGTTTGATACGATGATTCATTTGCATCCTGGTGCATCTCATCCTAATATGCATTCAAAGGTGAATATTCTTTCTTACGCTTCTCAATTTAACTCTCATTCTCATCGGAACCCAACTCTTGATGTAACATAATCATCATATCCAGATAAATAATTGTATAAAAACTTAACATTCGTTTATTCCTTCAATATTATGTGTATACTTCTATTTGAAATCAACTTTAATTATACGTATGTTTTGACTTTTTTATGTGTAATTTGACTTTGTTTGATTTTATTAGTCAACACAGACCTTAAAAAACAAACAAAACTTACCCATGACCCAACCTACTCCAACCTATTGAATGTGACTGTTGTATCTACTACATTAATTTTTCAAAAAGTCAACCATGATTTCATATTGTTGACTTTGAATTTCTAATATTTGACTGATGCTACGTTTATATAAAATTTAATGTGATGGTCAATATTCAAAAATATTAATATTATTGTTACAATATTTCGTTCACAACATGACAGTTTATTTATAGGTATTTAAAGCCAACTTATAAAAACGATAAAAACACATGACAACGACATTTTGATGGGTCTTCATATAATATTTAGTCATGGGTGTCAGATCAGATGAGGGTTAATAACTCTTATACGAGTCTGCCTAAACAACGTCAAAGCTCAAAGAGGAGTCGTGCTATCCATGGTGAAATATCGTGATGCTTTTAATGCAAGGTCCTGATGGCTACGTTATGTGTAGCTCTTTCTCTAAAATAGACCTGAATTCTAATCGAAGACATGTTGGTTGTGTGAAAACGGTGAATATGTGCTTTGGTCAATCACTAAAAGGGTTGAGAGGATTGGTAGGCTATGCGTCTTTTTTTGTAATAAGTGGTAGGCGGTGTTTATCAATATAGAATGTGTTTCCTAGTTTTATGTTAAAAGATGTTGTCGTTTGGATATTGATTCATTTGGAAGTTGTCATGGATTTCCTTTCAAGACAATGATACATTAATTTTGTGCCAGTAGATGCACAAACCGATAGAAGGGTCGATCTATAATCTACTCGGTTGGATCTTGGAGTATTGATCATGGGTTGTGAATCCATGGACCTACGGAGCTGATTCAAGCATCCATCGGTAGTGTAGTAACATGATATCCCCACTACAAGCTATGATATATTTTGTTAGAGTTGGGCCGCATAAAGTAGTCAAATCAAATTGATAGCTACAGACGTGAGATCGGTAAATATAACATAGTCTATTTGTGTTTCTTGGATGGATCTTCTCATAAAGAAGGAGCAATCGGTCTTGTTACGTTTTTGTACGATGTAATTAATCCGTGCAAAGTATTAGTTTTGTAGTGAAAAGTCAAGGGTGATGCTTGAAATCTTAACTGCATGATAATAATTTCACGAAACCAATACACAACACTAGAAGTCTAATTAAATGTGTTTGTATGACTTCTAATGCGTAGTTTACATATTATAACTGGTTGCTCGATACCGATATATGGCCAAATGCTTTCGTTTTCCATCCAGGTCTTGTTGCTACTCTTGGGAGTATTTGCATGTTCCATAACCTGTGTAAAACCATTATATCAAAATTAGAAAATTACTTCAATACCCCTTGTAGTCAATTATCAAATGCCTATAATTTACAAGTGAACTTAATTTTGTGTTAGTAAATAATATTTATTAAATTATATATATGATATAAAAACATTCTATTTCTTTCAAAAACCAAAAAAAATTGAAATCAAAAGATGGAAAACTTACTTGGGTCACTGAAGGTGACAAGACCACTTCCTTTGAAATCACAATTCCAATAATTTCTCCCATGCATTTGATAATATGCATTCATTGCATATGATGCATGTGCATGAACCTTATTGGGCCCAAAACAAGGCCCATTTTCATAAACATCCCTACAGTCCACACCACCTGGCCCACAACAGAAATCCAACACACCCTGAACCACCCTCTCCTCTGCATGTGGCTTAGCCACACACCAAACCGATGGACCCCTTTGCACCATCTTAGACCCTGACTCGAACCCAAAATCCATCTTTGACCCACTACAAAACTCACACCTTAAGTCCGCATCATAGACCTTCGAACCATCGCCATTGAAGAGCCCAAAGTTTCTCTCACTTGAACCCCCTTCTTTCTTGTTCTCATTAAATAATGCAAATAGAAATATGTCTATTTTGTCATTTGGTTTCATTGGGGTCCCTTTGTTTGATTGGGCCTTCGTGATTAACCTACTGTTGTAGGTTCTTGCATTGTCTGGCGAGGCTGCACTCTCACCTGGCTCGCCTTTTGAGGGCCATCCGGATTCGGAAACTGTGATATGGACTGATCTGTTTCCGAATCCCAGTGAAACAATGGCTGAACGGATTGCGTCGATCTGAGCATCTAACATGTTTGTGTAGACGTATCCTTTGGGGTCGTGGACCCCAGTTGCGTTCCCGAACAGGGCGTATTCTAGTGAGACCGTAGTGGGGTTGTCGCGATAAGCGAAGTAAGGGTAGGCGTTGACCATGAAGGGTGAGCCGGTGTCAGCTAAGAAGGCGACGATGGAGGTCATTGTCGGCATGAGGGTGGTGGCGAAGGTGGAGGCAGATGGCGGAAATGAGGTGGCTAACACCGCCATGCTATGTGGGGTGGTGATCTTGATTTTCCGGTCAAGTCCACGGGATAACAAAACTTCATGGAGGTTTTGCATGGCTTGAATAAGGGAATTAGGGTCCATGTCATCGTCATCGGTGGCTAAGTACTCGTTACCGACGGCAATGGCGACAATGGAGGTGGCGGGGATGAATGGGGCGATACGGGCGGAGAACCAGTCCTCGGCGACAGACTTGGTGGAGCTTATGTTAGCGACATGGTTGTTCTCGACGGCAACTATGACGTCGATGCCGGAGTTGGAAAAGGCTTGGAGGATTTGAGGGTTGGTATCGTAGATTTTGACCTTATCAATGAGGGTGGCTTGGAGGAGTTGGGCGACTTTTTTGGGTGGAGGGAGGTTGTTGCCAAGTGTGCCGTAGTTTATTCCGACGGCGGAGACGGTGGGAAATGGGAGGAGGAGGAGGATCGGAAGGAGAGAGAGAAGGGCCATTGTGGTGGCCGGAGTGAACTAAGCTAGTAAAATGTAAATGGACTGAACTCAGATATTAATCCCTTGTAATTTTTAAGATATTTTTATATAAACGAACAGGTGAGAATATTAAGTGAAAATCATATTTGTTTAATCATATGTAAAAAATAAATATGATTATCAAAAGTTCTTTGATAAATAATTATATTATTTTTATTTTTTTATTTACAATAAGATTTTACATTCATCAAATACCTGGTAATCAATTGAGTATCTGGTTATTTTTAAAAATTATGAGATCAGTTATATGTATGAAGTCGGTAAGTAATCATAGTGTAAATTAACATGTGTATGTTTAATGTTTCAAACAGAAAACACGTAGATCTAGTTTTAATATAAGTATTTACCAGTATGAATTATTCTGTCTGAAACATAAAACACGGATGCCTTGGATCAATGAGTAATAACATGATGCATTAACATATTCAGGTTTAATGTTTTAAATAATAAAACACATTGGTTTGGATTTATTAAGTCATCACAATGTGAATTACCATGTATGTTGTTCAACATGTGTGGTTGTAAATGAATCTCACAGTTCTTACAAAATACATAGTTCATATATGAATAACCCTATATCTATACTATATTATAAAATATTTGACAAAAAACTCTTAAAAGTCATTTTTTATGTATAAATTATTGTTTATTGATGCACATTACTTAAATTAAAGATTACAAGCAGATTGTACGTAAATACAAATTATTATAGCTTCATGTTTTTAATTCGTGTAACTAACTGCAGATAAACATAATTAAATAAATGATAAACATTCATTTTAAATACAAAAATCTAAAATATAATTATGATAACCATCGAGTTCTAACAGAATACTTAATTATTAATTTTATATAAAACTATATCATCATTTATCAAATCAAAATAAATTATTTTGTCATTAAACTTAAATTAAATTATAATAAAAAAAATTATATTAAAGAGATTTCACATAAAAAAAACTTTTAAATAGTTAATTTGCTAATATATAACATCGATATATTTTTTCACAATTTTATATTTTTTTAAATTTATATTTTATTCAAAAATAAAGATATTATCGTTTTCTCAAAACTACATAAAATTGTATTATAACATCAATAGAGACAATGAATAAAAAGGGACATATAATTTTATATTGAAATCACATGTATTTACATAACATGATCAACGTAAAGGTGAGCAGACGACTTAACTTGACACCTTAATAACAGTCATAGTCGCATGAATCATATTAATTTTACACGTAATTATAATACAAATCACCAATCATTTAACCATTTTTATATCCTCTTATTTTGTTACTATTTTCGTTTGAAACCGAGACATAATTTCAGAAAAGGTGAGAGGCGATGATTGAAAAAGGAACGAATGAATTTGAAAAAGGAGGCACGAAAAAGCACTTTTTATGATGGAATCGGTGTTTGGGTCCCCTCCCACCACTTTACCATTATTACCCTTCGACAATCAACACTGTTTTATCTTTGACCAAAACCTATAATTTTGGTTACTTTTTTTTTTTATTTTTAAATTCTGAACTCACAAATATTTTTACAATAAAGCCAAAGATTTGTAGGCAAATGAAAATTTGATCGTTGAAACGAATATCGAATCTAACGATAGTATCCTACTTAGGTGGGAAATGGATCAAATTTTGCGGCGGTCTATCAGATCGGCCAAATAAGTTTTATAGTTTTTTAGGATTTTTTTTTTGTTCGATTTACTGAACCATTTACAAAATCCGTTATCAGCCCATTTAAGATGTCAGTTATGAACTTTAGACTTGGATCATGTGAGATCAAGAGTTTTTTGTGAGATCCATAAGACCAATTCTCAACCCTTGGATTAGATCTACAATCTGAACATACATAACCACAAAATTGTCACGAGACTTCTCAATAATCACAAAATTGTCACCGTGTAACTTTAGACCATTAGTTTATAAAGTTGATCAATCAACATAAATTGGTCTCACGCGTCTCACAAAAAAACATTGGTTTCACGTGAACCCAACCCTATGAACTTAATTACCAAGTTGTTTACTAACTTTTTAAAATTACAAAATTTGTTTTAGGTTGAATTTACGAGGGCATTTGCTGTTTTATTTGCTCAATATTTCATGAAGTTGATCTCATAACCCTCTGCATTTATGAAATCTATTTTGGAATATACAACGTTGATTTCGTCCGGATTTTGTTAGAAGAATGTAATTATACATTATAATAATGTAATGATTAAGTATAATATAAAAAAAATCATACTTATGCGTTTTATAAAATCATGTGAATTTTCAACATTACTTTCTCATCAAATAAAAACTAACTTCATTCATATAAGACCAAACTTTCATTGGCTAAACATTTACCAAGTCATTTATCTTATCGAATGAGCACGATAAAGACCAATAATCTTATTCAATAAGAGGGATGACAATAAGCGAAGTTCTTATCCAATAAGTAAGGGTGAAGACTATTATCCCTTTAATGTTTATCGAATAAGAGACATTCACAAATAATTCAATTTTGTAGATTATAATGTCGTCCGACATGATTAATTAAGGTGTTTCGTTTTAAAAAAAAATACTTACCCGATAAAAATTCGATAACGGGTGTTTTTGATATTTTCTTGATCTAGTGGTCTCGGTGGTCACGGGCTACATGGAAAAAACATATTTAAAAACTAGAAATAAAATAAAATACGAGAATAGACGCTAGGGTTTCACAACTTCACCACTTAGAATCTCCTAGGGTTTTACTGCCTACCTCTCCCTCTCCCTCTCCACAGATTTCGATCATATACCAGATAGAAATGGAGATCCCGTTCAGATACACTGGTCGCTGGAGATCCGAGAATCCTGAGGTAACAGTACACAAAAGAAGCCTAAAAAAGTGATCGCAAAGTTCATGCTTGGCAGTAGATCGGTTCCACCGCCCTATGCTAAGCAGAAGCTCTGAATCGATTCCAACAGTCTGCTTCAGATTCATTAATCAAAACACTCAATTTGCTTGAATTTTATGGCTTTTCAATTTTTAGTTGATATTTTCCCACATCGAAGGTTTTTAAAGTCCATTCACTTTGATTGTGGCCAGAATTTGGGGATAACAGTTTTTATGAAGTCAAGATGACCACCGAACGATCCTTGGGGTTCAATTCATTAGTCTGCCGGACTGCCGGTGAGGTATGGTTACCGGCTTTCTTTATATGATTATTCCTACAAAGGAGTGTTTTTATTTTATTACAATTATTTGATTTCTAGTTAGAATATATAATACTAAATAAAAATAAAAATAATTTGCATACAAGACAGTTAACAATTCATATAAAATTTTGCATTCATGGTTTTTGGGTTTGTGCACCCCAACCCCCTAACCGGGGGCGTATTCATATGGAATAATATGGTTGCATTGGGAAAAAATTATGTTTCTGAAAGGTGTCACTGTATTGTTTTGTTGGGTTCTATTGTAAAGTTTTTGAAACTGAAATGTTAACACAAGATTTTAACGACTGAGATGGTAAATTTCTTGCCTTCGTACAAAAGACTAGGGTACGAGTCCCACATTTGTTAACTTTGTGGTTTTTAGCAAATTTTGGTGTTTTTTTTATTAACCTGGATATCCAACCCGCTATGCGAGTTGACTAATCCAGGGAGACCACCTGCTTTGCAGATAGCCCGGACCGCATTTGAACCTCCGTGGCTACAAGGGGATTTTTATTCCTCCTTGGATTTGAATCTGGGACCTCCAGGTACTTTTAACCTTTAGAGTCAAGCTCAAACCAATCAGCCACCACCCTTGTGGTTCAAATTTTGGTGTTTTTATATACCTCTCTGTATTTTTTAAAATATACGTAGAGCAGAGTCGAACATGGGTCTCTTCTATATAAAGAAAAGTATCAAGCAGTAGATCTATATTAATATTGTGAAAAAAAAATCTGGGGACGCCTCTGCCCTAACGGCTGAAAAAAGGGCATATTGGTGCAAAATATTGCATATGATGGCTTACACTTGATCTCTGAACAACAGGTAAGTACTGTTGACAAATTAATATTGCTGATGCAAATTTCTTTGCACCAACCCTTTGAGTATGCTCTATTTTCACTTTAATGTTATGGGTTTTGCTTGACGACCATACTGCCTTGGTTCAGTTTTACGAAAATGATCTATTTGTGGTCAAAGAGTTTTGGGATAGTTGGGTTACATGGTTAATTGTTGTACCAACTAGAGATGCACAACATGGCCTGTATCTCAAGACTCTTCAAGCTAGTTTTGGGATAGTAAGGTTACATGGTTAATTGTTATGTTTCTTTTTCAAGATGAGGATGGGTTACAAAAAGTCCTGGTCAAGGATCGAACAATGGGCTGCGAATAGAAACAGCCTTACCTTAAAAATATGTTATTTTCTTTGTCCAAAAGAGACATTTTGTATGTCCCAAAATGATTGTAACAATTATTATTTTGGTTGTTCTAAAATAAATGCAACATTTTCTTTTACGGTAAGATTAAAATCTACATTTGTTGTTTCATTTGCCAACAGATATTACAAAATAATACTAGTGACATTGATTTTCCGTTGATTAATTTTTAGTTTTGTCATTGTTGATTATTTAGCTTATTTGATTATTAGCTAAATATTCTATTTAAATTATATATCAAGTCAAATATTGTATTTCTTTAGCATAAAAGGATTACAACATTTAACTTAGTGATAATTTAAAAAGATGTTTAACTATTAATCAAATATTTCTAAATATTGATATTTGATAAAATTAAAGTATATTCTTTCACCAAGATTAATGTTCCTAACATTGTAATAATTGTCAAATGGACAAATAATTTTGGATGTAGAACGTATCTTTTAAAGGAAATGTTGCATTTATTTTGAAGCAACTCATAAAGAAAATTGTTGCATATATTTTGAGATCGAAAGAATATACAATGATAACGAAACAAACATAAGGCAATGTCGCGATACAAAAAGTATCCGAAAGACATAATATGAAAGGATCAAGAAAATATCGTAAAAATTTTACACCTGAATGGATCAAGAAAATATCGTAAAAACCACCTGAATGGATCAAGAAAATATCGTAAAAACCAGGGGAATAACTCTATTTATGCTTAACATGGAAAGCGTACAATATTTGAGCCTTGCTTATGAGGGTGGCTTTTGCTTGGTTCACATCATGTTCATGGTAAACAAGGAAACATTCTTTGTTATGTTGTCATCATGTTATAATGATTGTATCATGTCATCTTGTTGATTTGATATATCATATCAAATCAAATACATTAAATTGAACACAATTTTCTTACGTCTACCATTAGACAAACCGTGAGAATAATTGTGGTGTTATTTTTAATATTTTTGGTTGGTTTGTTGTATCATGTTAACAAGATGACTTGGTATAATTGTTTTAATGAATATGACCTACTAACACGTTTTCTAGGAACACGGTATGTCTCAAATCTTGTAAATTATATTAATTAGGTAATTATAATTAATGTTAGAAAGTATCATAAAGCATGACTTCTATAAGATATTCATTCTATTACCATTCACAAATCCTAATTAGTTAATAAACTTCCCGTTCATAATCCCCAATAAATCTCCTGATCTACCATTAAAAAGAACTTGGATCCCCTATGTTCCATGAGCGGGTCTTCATTTAGCTAGCAATGGAAAGGTTAATTCAACCTTTCCATTGGTAGACCTACTTCTGAAAGAGATGGGACCGATGTTCTTTTGAATGGTAGATCAGGAGGTTTAATGATCTCACGGCTTGTGGACAACATCAAAATGCAACTTAACAGGGCGATGGAAGGTTTAGTAATTGGTGAGCCAGGACTTGAGAGCATCTCTCTCTAATTAATGATATTATGCCAGAACTACTAGTTGTTTTCAGTAATGCATGCATGGTTTGAAAGTTGCTGGCTTTTGCAGATGATGATACAAGTGTTGGTTTATGCAACTATTTGAAGCTCTGCATATTTTGTTCCAATATTTATTGTTTCTATATTGTCATTGTATTATATATGTTTCTGTAGTTATTTTATTTGTATTTTGTTTTTAAAATATTTCTAGTTTCTACCCAAAAACCATTCATATACCATTGTCGGACGGTATAACATTGTGAGGGTGGATTGGTGTTGCAGTCCAGGTGGTGGCGAATATTGCCGCTTGCTTTGTAGGAGACGTCTGTCTGTAGGGCCCGGCATGCTTTTCACCAAAAAGGAAAGAGACCATACGAAAGCAATTTTTCTTAAACGGTGTTATTTTCTACCATTAATTATGAGAGATTTATTATTTTATTAAAATTATTATTTAGTTAGTTAAAAAGTGCAATGGTTACATGTTTTCTAAAACTTAATATAATATCAAATATCCAAACTTGGTTTATACACAATATTAGAAGTTGTGTATCATAGTAGTACTATGATACCAACTTATTTAATTATTTACGACCTTTTGTATTTTTGATGTATTGAATATTAAGTATTGCAATTTTAGTTTTTTTGTTTGGGCATTCAAATGTTTGTAAATTTCATTTCTTACAATTAATAATCCTTAAACATGACATGCCTTGTAAAACTCAAATGTCACTCAAAATTTGAATGAGAAGTCTTTATACGTATAACTTGAAGTTGGTACAAAAACAATACCAATTTTCAGTTGGTCATGAATATAGTTGGTTTCCAATATAAAATTTTACGTACCAATTATAATTGGTTATTATATGGTATTGAGACATAATTTGATAGTGTACTAAGTCCACCTCTATTTATTTTCGGGACGGAGTAAATGTATCTTAGTAGGGATGTTAGAAAGACTGTGAAACCGAGCCGAAACGTTTGAATCGAAACCGAAAAAACGATAACCGAAAAAATCTAAAAAGCAAAAAACCAAAATTGGAAAACCCTAAAAACCGAAAAACCTGGGTATTTACAAATTGATTTCAGTTTTGAATTTTAGGTATCCGCGGGTACTCGAACCGGGCCGGATATTATGTATATATAATATCTAACATTAAACATTAATATTATTTATTTATCAACCTAATGTTAAATGAGTAAAAATATTTTACATTTTGCTATAGTGGTTGATTAAATTTGACGGTATGAAGTTGTAAAGGAGTCGTTATTAACCGAAAAATGGATGTTTTTAAACAGTTAAGCTTATTTTAATTTGTAGTGCTTTAATTATTTATATTTATTTGTTGTATAATTGTTTCAAATGTCATATTTCAGTACCACTTTTGCATTGTAAACAATATTTTTTGTAAATTTAGATCACCATGAAGGTATGAATCAAACTACGGGTAACTGCCTTATTTTAGTTCGGTTCGCTGTGGTTTGACTCAACTTATGCTTCCGACTCTTAAAGGGTTTTTTGTTTACTTCTTAATGGTTATATTAAGAGGCAACATCTGAATCGCTAAGAGGTGAATCTTGTTTGACAAAAAAAAGTCTGTTTCTTAATTATTCTAAAACCCTCTGAATGGTTTTGTATCTTAGGTATCCCTTAACCATTCACCACTCTAATTTCATTATGAATAATTACCAAACAATTATATTTCATATTGCATTATATTATAAAAGTTTCTTAATCATTCTGATCACTTATTCATTTTACACCAAACCATTCAGCAACTGTCAAACAACTCTTTACGGTTGGGTTCACTGATCACCTCTATCTTTTATTTCAATATGGTTAAGTTTATATGTAAATAGTCCTAAATTCACTCTAAAATGTATTTGGCGCAATTTTCTTTTGTTCATCTTTCAGTATCAAAATCGTAGATTTCAGCTACTAAAATATTTATGTCACCCTTGGTTTGGCACAAAATTGTTGATGAAATTAATCAAATATAATCCCAAACCCACAAATTTCTAGTCTTTAATTCTCATGATCTCCAGCTTCACAGATTCATGTCGTCCTCTCTCGATCTATTTCATCCGTCGACTCTTGTCAACCCAACAAAAGTACCTCTCAAGAAAACTACCTCCATACGAAAATCCAGATGTATCTTATATGGAATTATCTCAGAAGTTTTACGAATTAATGAAATCATGCGTAAGTATTCGGTCGACACACTTGGCTCGAGGACTTCATTGTCAGCTTATCACAATTGGGTTAGATTCTTCGACTTTTATGCGGAACAACTTAATCAACATGTATGCCGGTTGTGGTTTGGTCGATGATGCGTCATTGGTCTTTAATGAGATTGAGTTAAAAAATGTGTTTAGTTGGAATACGATGATAGAGGGATTCATAGATTCAGGGCGGCTATTGGCTGCAGAGAGGGTGTTTGAGGAAATGCCTGAGAGGGATGTTGTTTCTTGGAATTCTATGATGTCAGGTTATTTTCGTAATGGGTTTCCAGAGAAGACTGTTGAGGTTTTTGTTTCATTGGTTCGATGTTTTGACTGTGTTCCTGGTGCATATTCTTTCACTTGTATGATGAAGGCCTGTGCTAGCCTTAAAATTTTTAACTTGGCTTTACAAGTACATGGTTTTGCCGAAAAGTTAGGATTTTTAGGTGATGATTCTGTGGAATCATCGATGGTTGATATGTATATCAAGAGTGGAGCGCCAGATTTTGCCGAACGTGTTTTCTTGAAGATGCTGAACCCAAATATGTTTTCTTGTAACTCTATGCTTTATGGTTACTCGAAATTATATGGTGCTCAGAGGGCTTTGGAATTATTTGATGAAATGCCTAAAAGAGACGTCGTTTCTTGGAATATGATCATTTCGATATTGTCTAAGCATGGGGATGTCGCGAAAACACTTGGTATGTTTATTGAGATGTGTTGTCAAGGTTTCAGACCCAATTCCATGACATATGCTAGTGTTCTCAGTGCTTGTACTAGCATATATGAACTTAGCTGGGGGGTCCACTTGCACGGCCGAATTATCAGAATGCAATCAAATATCGATGTCTATGTTGGCAGCAGTCTCATTGACATGTATGCCAAATGTGGGTGCTTCAGAAAAGCACGTCAGGTGTTTAACGATTTGAAAGAGCACAACGTAGTATCATGGACATCAATGATAGGAGGAGCAGCACATTGTGGTAAAGAAGAGGAGGCCATTTCATTGTTTAAACAAATGAAGGCGGTTTCCGTGGCCTCTGATCAATTTACTCTAGCAACTGTTCTCAATGCTTCTTATGGTTTGCAGGATATTTATCTTGGAAGCCAGATCCATGCTTATTCAATCAGAATTGGAATCGATCATTTAACCTCTGTAGCCAATGCTCTTGTTACAATGTATGCCAAATGTGGTGACATTGAGAGTGTAAACCGTGCATTTAACTGGATGTCCCATAAAGATATCATATCATGGACAACCATGATCACGGCATTCTCTCATAATGGAAACGTTGGAAAAGCTAGAGAATGTTTTGATAAAATGCCAGAGCGTAATGTTGTATCTTGGAACTCGATGTTAGCGACATATATACAACATGGATTTTGGGAGGAGGGTCTTAAGGTTTATGTTTTGATGAGAAAGGAAGGAGTTAAACCGGATTGCGTTACTTTTGTAACTTCAATTTCTGCCTGTGCATATGCAGCTATACTAAAGCTTGGGAACCAAATTGTTGCTCAGGCTGAAAAATTCGGTTTTGGTTCGGATGTCTCAGTAAAAAATAGTATTGTTACCATGTACTCAAAATGCGGACGTATTGGAGAAGCGTGCAAAACTTTTGATTCGATACTTGCAAAGAATTTGATTTCTTGGAATGCAATGATGGCTGGGTATGCTCAAAGTGGTCAGGGTAATCAAGTGATTGATACTTTTGAGCAGATGATAAGATCGGGGATAATGCCTGACAATATAAGTTATGTATCTGTCCTTTCGGGTTGTAGCCACTCCGGTTTGGTACCAGAAGGACACTATTACTTTGATATGTTGCTTAAAGATCAAGATATATCTCCAACATGCGAGCACTTTGCGTGCATGGTAGATCTACTTGGGCGTGCAGGGCGTGTCGAAGAGGCGAAAGATTTAATCGACAAGATGCTCATAAAACCGAATGCTGCCGTTTGGGGAGCTTTGCTTGGTGCTTGCCGGATTCATGGCAAAGCAACATTGGCGGAAACCGCTTTGAAGAATCTTGTCGTGTTGGATGCTGAAGATTCTGGAAGTTATGTCCTCCTAGCGAATCTTTACTCGGATTCCGGAAAGTTGGAGTCTGTTTCTAATGTAAGACGAATAATGAAAGACAAAGGCATAAGGAAAAATCCGGGTTGCAGCTGGATTGAAGTAGATAACAGGGTGCATGTTTTTACCGTAGACGATACCAACCATCCAAGAATTAATGACGTTTATCGCATATTGGGGGAGATTATTGGGAAGATAGAAGAAACAGGAATTTATATCAAGGAAAATGGTTCCGTTAATAAGCCGAGGGCGTATCACAGTGAGAAGCTTGCGTTGGCGTTTGGTTTGATGACTTTACCGGCTTGGATGCCGATCCACATAATGAAGAATCTCCGAATCTGTGATGATTGCCATTTGGTAATGAAATTGGCATCTCTTGTTACCTCGAGGGAACTTATAGTCCGGGATGCGAATCGCTTTCATCATTTCCAGGAGGGAGCTTGCTCATGCCGGGATTACTGGTAAATCGCAATTCCGTATTGGAATCTCACAAAGGCTAGACTTGGACAATGTTTACTCTATATGTTGGTACGTTTCCCTCTGGGCTCTCCAAAGATGGGGTTTCACCAGGTATGAAACAATATGCTAATATTGTTTGGTTGGTTGGTTTTACATCAAGTCCTATGTGGATGAAACTGACTGTATGAGTTAATTTGTTTGTATAGATTGAGAGGATTTTTGTTTGTAGGAGCTTTTCATAAATAGAAGGAAAATGTTCTGCCCATCGGAAGGGCAGGTCTGGTCCCCTAGAAGTTTACCGAATAAGTTACTCTCTATATTATTAAGCCACCACCAAATAGTCCCATATAGGTGACCATATAAACTGTGAGTTCCGTTAAGCTCATTAAGCTTGTAACAAACTATTATTGATAGGCATTGATGCTAAGCCGTATGCTATTTGTTTTATGTACAGATGCATTGATGATATCAACCAGTTTGTTAAGAGAGCAACAACGTTGTTTTTGTCGCTTGAACAATAATTGGTACTTAAATTACATGTTTAAAGTAGTATTTCACTTTCCCAAAAAACATTATAAACTTAACAGCGCTGGACGAATTTACAAAGAGATGTAAACGTTTGTGCACAAGTGTTTGTTCGGTCTTATTGACCCACAACTTGTTGGGCCAAAATCGAACGAAATAAACACCTGTGAGCTCGTCAGCATTCTCATTCTCCTCCAAAGACCCCCCATTGTTTCCCGAGTAAAGAAATACGTCACCAAAAACCCAAAAACACAAACCCCACCCATAGCCATTAACGTATGTGACATCCCGATCCCATGTGGAGGCTCGTGATAAACCCACAAAAACCCAACCGATCCGATTATCGCCCCCACTTTTCCAACCGCACCGGAAATCCCATGACAGGTTGCACGAAACCTTGCTGGAAAAAGCTCTGCCGGGACTATGAAAGTGGTGGTGTTCGGCCCAAAATTGGAAAAAAAGAACGGAAGTCCATAGAGGATCGTGAACCCGATACTTGGATTGGATCCCCAATCTCCCGTGTTGACTTTTGCGATTGTAAACAAGCTTACTGCCAAGAAAAAGAACCCAGTTGCCTGGATCCTGACTCTCCCGACGTAATTGATCATGTAAACTGCCACGAAATACCCAGGGATCGTTGCACAGGCTGCAACGGTTGCTTGGAATTTCGCGACCTGCAAAGCATCATTGTATAGATTCATGTGGCTCTTTGGAGTCATATGATGTATGAATGCATGATATTGGAATAGATTGAGACTGTAGAAGACAATATCAACGAGAAACCAGTTGAAGGATGCGGCAATGAGATCACGACCATGTCGTCGGAAAAATTCTCGAGAGAAAAGAGGGGTAGGCGTCGGAGAACGCTGCTCCAGTGTTTGGAGTGTTCATCGGCTCGTTATCTTCAAAGCGATCATAATTGCAGGTATGGGTTTGCAAACTCCGACATAATCATGGCCAATAACGGGTAATCCCCTCCGATTCCCAACCCGAGCAAGAACCGAAAGAAGCCGAGGCTAACAAACACCATCGACGTTAATGTCGAGAACGAGAATCCACAACCGAGGGACCCCACGACCATCAGTACCAATGAAACTCCGTATTATGATCGCTTTGAAGTGGTAATATTGCGTCTTTGCGGCATCAAGTGCCAATAAGACCTTCAATGCCATCGTGGATTTGAATTTTCTTGACTCGAACACAAGAATATATATATAAGGAAAAAAACGTAGTTGTTAAGATAAAACGTCATGTAATACTAAAAACATGGGAAAGGAAATTGGGAGGGAATTTGTTAGTGATGAAATCCTTAATTCGCATAAATTTAAAATATAAGATGTTTGATACTAACAACGTTTTGTCTGGTAGAAGTTGTGGGATTTTGAGGTTTATTGTTTGTTTTATATGCGAAATGAATGAATGAATGAATTGCAGTTTACGGATTTCTTGTACTATAACGATAGATTTAATTATAATATACAACTTATTCAAGGATATTCCTTAAATAAAATAAAAAATTAATTTAGTTATTTTATTATAATAACTCATCAAAAGGTTTAATTAATTTTTTTTTGAAAAGCAAATATTTACTTGGATAACTTAAAACTGAAGGTCGTGTAAATAACTAAATATTTGGTGAGCAAATAAATATACGTCACAAGAAACCCAAAACACAAATGCAACCCGTTGACGCTAACGAATGCAACACTCTATGCTCGTACAGAGAATCACGAGAAGCCCCTAACCATTCCGCCAACATCATGGCATGCAAGCAGGCCCGAAATTAGAAAAAAAAAAAAACAAGAAAGCGACAACGGTCATCATCGAACCATTGTTCTTTTCGAGCAATAATATTGCACATCATGCCCCCATAAAACATTCAATGCAGACACACACACACAAAAAAAACTTTAAGTACGACGTAGGTTTAAGATTTTTAAGAAATGATTAATATGAGTAAATTGTACGATGATACTTGGGCCGTCTTTAGTATGTGAACTTTGATGTAGAATCTCCACTGTGTCGTTAGGTCGCAGGTACTTGTTGAGCTCTTCTGGCCCACAACTTGTGGGGCCAAAATCGAACAAAACAAACACCTGTGAGCTCGTCCACATTTTCATTCTCCTCCAATGACCGCCCCATTGTCTCCCGAGTAAAGAAATACGTCACCAGGAACCCCAAAACACAAACCCCGCCCATCGCCGTTAACGTATGTGACACCCAAACCCCGTTTGGGTGATCACGAGAAGCCCACAAGAACCCGACCGTTCCGGTTATCGCCCCCAGTTTTCCAACTGCACCGGAAATCCCATGACACGTTGCACGAAACCTCGCAGGAAAAAGCTCCGCCGGGACTATGAAAGTGGTGGTGTTTGGCCCGAAATTGGAAAAGAAGAACGTAAGTCCATAGAGTATCATGTACCCGACTGTCCCGTCAGATCCCCCATCGCCTTTGTACACTCCCGCGATCGTAAACAAGCTTATCGCCATGAAAAGGAACCCCATTGCTTGAATTTTGACTCTCCCAACATAATCAATCAAGTAAACTGTCGCGAAATATCCGGGGATCGTTGCAGAAGCCGCAACGATCGCTTGGAATTTCGCGACTTGCAATGCATCATCGTACAGATTCATCGCATTCTTTTCCTTCATATGAGGTTTAAATGCATGATCTTGGAATAGATTGAGACTATAGAAGACGATATCGAGGAGAAACCAATTGGTGGATGCGGCAACGAGATCACGGCCATGTCGTCGAAGAAATTCTCGAGAGAAGAAACCGTATGTGTTTGAGAAAGCTGCCCGAGTGCTCGATGTGTTCATCGTGTCGATATCTTCTCGGATTTGACTCAGTGATACATTCATGACTTTCTCCATATCTTTTGCTGCTTGTAATGTGTTCTTCTCCACCAAAGCTGTGAATCTGTGAAAGCAGCATCCAAAGAAACACAATGAGTTGGCCGTCGGAAAAAACCTCAATTTACGACAGAAAGGACGTCGTTGGATGTGGTTGTTACAAAAAGTTGGATTAATCGGGCTTTAAGACCGGGCCTGTGCCCGAACTGGGAGTTGTGGTTAGTACCGGGCAGTTTCGGGCATCTTCATCCGCCAATAATAAGTCATAGATGCTGGAATTGCACCAATCATAAGAATAAGCCGCCACGCCAAGTCCGATACGGGCTGCACCTGGGCAAAAGTTTTCGATGCTTGGAGTTCCATCGACGGAGTTGGTAGATTCTTGTCAACGGCTTTAAAAACGGTGCACACGGTCATGGTAACGAGCGAGCTCAATAGGATCCCGAACCCTTGCATAGAGAACACACCGGCAATGAACGCTCCACGAGTCCTCCTGTTGGCGAACTCCGACATAATCGTGGCCGATAACGGGTAATCCCCTCCGATTCCCATCCCAAGCAAGAATCGGAAAAACCCGAGGCTGACAAACACCAATGGCGTCAATGTCGTGAGTGAAAACCCGCATCCGGTAGAACCCAAGACCATTAGTACAAGTGAAATACCGTACACACGACGACGCCCGACACGGTCTCCAAGCCAGCCAAAAATGAGTTGCCCGATTACAGCCCCCATTAATGCAACACCGAACATCGTGGATGCAATCACGGCAGGGACCTCGAACCATTTCGCCGGTGGCACATCGTCGTCGAATTTAGGGTAATATATCCTTCCGATGAGTGTCATAATCGGAGGGATGCAAAACAAGTCATAACTATCAGTAAACAAACCCATACCTGCGATTATAATGGCTTTAAAGTGGTAGTATTGCGTTTTTGCAGCATCAAGAGCCGATAATACTTTCAAACCCATGGTGGTGCTGAAGATTTTTTGATCCGAATGTGAAGAATTAATTATAAGAAACAAATAAAATGGAGATAATTATTAAAAATTAATATGTGGGAAGGAAATTGCTTAGGAGTTTCGTAGTGATGAAATCCTTGGCAAATGCTTCTAACGTTTTGGAAACAAGTGGTTAATCCTTCGTTTTCATATGAAAATTGCGACATCTTGTGAATTGACCCATTGACCAATTTTTCTACTCTATTTTTCATTTTTATTATTTATTTACAACAAATAACCTTAAAAAAACTATAATGTATGATTTATATGGTTTTATTTTTGTTATGATATTATAATCCATCACATGTGATACTAAATTAGAGACTCAAGATTTTTGGTGCGGCTTCCTCATGTGTATTATCACATGTGATAAGGGTCTTCTCGCATTTTCGCAAAATGAAAATGTTCTCGTTTGAACATCCACTTGTATATATATACACACCGAGTATAATAATAGTGAGAAACACAATGAGTGTATATGATGCAAAAATATAATCAATCTTCCATGAAGAAAACTTGTAAAAAGAATTATATCATTGATTTGATTGTTCGTGAGGAACTTTTGTTGATATAACGACGTGGTTATATAAAATTAACGTCATTGATATATTTGTATTTGAACCGCACTCTTTATGTTACTCTTATACTATATGTCGTTTAAACGTAAAATTAACATTTATATAAAACATTACGTAAAAAATTAAATTTGTAGATCGGGAAAAATATCTGATTGGAATGAAATCTTATTCCCTAAAGAGGAAGTGGACGGCAATCCTGGTACCCTCGACCATGTTGCCATCACTAATACTTTGTCGCCACATCATCCTCCTTGTTCCCGGTGCAACCCTACGGCGACATCGACTCCCCTTGTCTACTATACGGCTTCTCTCTTCCATCACAAGTCCCCTTTCTCTATATAAAAGTGTTATAATAAGTTTATATGACATTTTCGAACGTTTTAACAAGTTTTTTAGAACATTCCTAATACAAAGTGTCATCTTAGTTATTTTATAGGACATTTTTTTAGAAATATCCTATGAATGCATCTTTTTATAGAACACTTGTTTTATAAGATAATTTTTTGAATAATGTCCTATAAAATAGCTAATGCAACGTTTTTCTAATAAAAACGTCTTAAAAGACTTGCTCTGACGTCCAAAAACATCCTATAAACTTATTACAACATCTTTAAATATAATGTTTTTATTGTTTGGTCATATAAACTAAGTCTTATAAAACAGTATATTATAACACCTGGACACATTTTTAATGTTTTATAAACCCAATTTTATTGTAGTAGCTTCTAGGATTTAGGAGGCTCCACAACAAGCGGAGTAGCACGCGTTATGTCTTCTTGAAAGCCATGCCACATTTACCAAAACTTTACGGAACGAAGACAACATCCTCTCGTTGTAACCTAAAAAAGTCGTATCATTGATTCAATAGATGTTGTCTTTTACTTAAACCAGTGATGTGATATTTATGTCCTCGGACTTTTGTAAGCATCTTGACAAACGAACATCAAATTCTAAGTTCCATAAATAATTAAAAGATGACGACGAAATGGAAGTAGAATGAAGGTTTTATTTAAATAAGTAGAAAAAGACATAAATAAAAATAGCAAAAGCCAACTACTCATTAAAAGAAAGAAGACATATAATATGAGGTCCAAGTCTTCTACTAACCCTCGTAATTCTGCCTCAATAATGATAAAAAGTCCAACCAAGGTTTTCTGGGATCATTAGAGATCTGATTCAGCTTATGTGCATCGATTAATCACTATGCAACTGTTAATCTTTTGGAGTAATCGTAAGTGAACTTCTATGACAACATCTATATTCGAACTCGGAAAAAACGAGATATCCACTACATCTCTTGAATCTTAACCGATACGTCATGAATTTTGTTTTGAGGAGACCGGATTCTTCAATTTATTTTTTATATTATAGCATTTAAATAGGCGGAAAAATCATGTGAGAAAGAAAGTTATGATGAAAAACGTAAGAAGAGATCTGAACTTTTGACTACTTTTAATCTCATGTCCATCAATGAATTACGCTTTATACGAGAATTGATCCGATACATTTCATCCTAACGTGTGTTTAAAGGTGGAGACCCTTTTTTACGCTTCTCATATTAACTCTCGTTCGGAATCCACACTCATTTAAATATTTATATTAGTTACAAAAATTGAAATCGATAAATTGACATGAATACTAAAATATGTGGACCAAAAATTGGAACGGCTAAATTGACATATATACTAAAATATGTGGATAGAAATTGGCCTAGGAATAAATCCTTGGCATATGCTACATGGGATGGAAATGTTCGGGAAGATTAAGGTTTGTTGTTTGTTACATTGTTTTCTTATGATAAAGGCCATTAATTATGTTGGTTTGAATAATTCGCTATTTGCACCCTGTAAGAATCAGATCAAGTCGTACATTAAGAATGTAAAACTTGAAAATCACATCGTTCTTAACATATTAAAATAAGATATAAATTGCTTATACAACAAGACATGATGATCAAAATGTCAAATGACTCGTCACGAATCAACGATCACGTGTTCAAAACTTGAAAATCTCCGATTCGAGACCCTCAACTTTCATCCATCAAAATTGTAATCTTAAGAGGATACTTGAATTGTACTTTTAAGTTCATTTCAAAAGTAACTAGGAGAATGACTTCATATATAAGTAGCTACAATTAACCGTCTCAAACAACCCGCATTTAGCTGCTATTCGACATCATCATCATCAGTCTTCATCCCTGTAAAATACACAAAATCTGCTTATATAAATGCATGCATGCATGCATGCAACTAATCTACTACTCGCATTTCATCACAATGGCTTCAAAAATGCCATCTGATCTAAAGTTTGGATAAAACAGCCTTGGATCAACAGGTCCTGGAAGGCTGAACGAGAGACTGAAGGGTCCAGGCGGGGCTTGCTGTTGGAATTTCATTTCAAAAACTCGAGAATGTCTTGAAACGGTTTTTCCACCCGTTGATGTTTCTCCTCGGACATGAACCCTCCCATCCCGTTCTATCTCGCAGCTAAACTGACCTGCAAAAAACAACTCAAACCCATTACTTCATCCCATTTGATTCAATGTAATCTATAGTCATTTCATATCGGTCTAAACTTATAACAGTCCATGTTAGTTTAGTCTTTCTTTACCAGCAATATTGATCTGATTAGTTCCCTGTGGATGGTTTCAAACCATTTAAAGCAATTACCTGCTGCAATGTTAAAATTATCAAGCTAGGAAATGCATCATAAGTGTTCAGTATAAAATTTTGATCCCTTCTCAAGGTTATTTAGTTAAATGACCCCGATTTCTATGCATTCTTGTGTATGGAAATGACATTCTCAAACCTGTCAGAAGGTTATGGATTTATAAATATATATAAAAAAACCTGTCAGAAGGTCATTTAAACAAAGGACCCTCTGAACTGCAGCCATTAAACTTTCTAACAAGCGGGCTAGGCTGGTCCTATGGCAACAGATGTTTTGGGCACCATAGACTCAAGATTCTGGACATTTGATCACTGCTTGAAAAACTGGTGAAAAGGCTGTCTACATGGACTGTGAAGAAGTTGTCCTCTGACGTAAAACAACTGACAATTTCTGTCCTAAGTTTCAGTTATCTGAATCGGGCTTCAAATTCTATGCTACCTAACAGTATTTCCAAGGCCAGACAGGGTCATGTCCAAGTGCATACCAGAGTGAGATATGGAAGATGGGTCCCCCAAAAGTTTTAGGGTACAATTACACATGTTTTAAGCCTCTACTCTTGTAGCCAATTTGGCAATTCCTGGCTCCAGCATTCGAAGAATGATTCTATTTAAGTAAATTTCATATGTTACTTTGTCATTTTAAGACAATTTTTGTTGTTTCAATTTGTAGGACTTTTAATACTCCCTCTGTCCCAAAATAATTGTCCATGTTTCTTTTTTAGTTTGTCCCAAAACAAGTGTGAAGCGTCCTCTTCAAAAGTAAGGTGCTATTAGGTTCGCAAAATTCAAAGGAATTGGAATGATCAATTCTTTTGACCAAATTCCAATTCCTTTGTTTGGTTCACATATTGAAATGGATGGAATCCTTTGAATTCCACATATTAAGGAATTCATCATTCCTTGGCATAAACGAAGGATTTGAATTCCATCCCATTGCATCCAATTTAACCAACATTGCCCACCCCCTGCCTCCACCATGACCAGCTACTACTGTCACTGTCACATCGCCACCCTAACCCCCCACCAGGCCACCACCACACCACTACTTTCTCCGTCACAATGGCCACCACCACCACACCACTACTTTCTCCGTCACAACCGCCATCACCACCACACCACTACTTTCTCCGTCACAACGGCCACCACCCCCAACCCTCAACTCACCACTCACCACCATGCCAATACTGTCGTCGTTACAGTTACCACACCCCCCTAGGGTGTGAAACGGGTGGGGCGTTGGGGCAGGGGGTTGTGGGCGGGGCACATTGGGGTTTATTGTTGTCATCACAGCTGCCACCTCACCCTCCCCCCAAACAAATATGGAGATTCCAATTCTTTTGAGAGATTTCATTCCAATTCTTTCCAACCAAACGCATGGTCAAATTCCATTCGAATTCTTTCAAAGTCAAATTCCTTTGATGGATTCCAGTTCCACCAAATTCCATTCTGTGAACCAAACTCCCCCTAAGTGTCTGCTTTCCAATTCTAGCCTTAACTATGAGATGGAAAAATTCATTGTTCTCTCTATTATTAAGGGTTAAACTGTGATTCAGTTAATTAAAAGAAGTGTCATATGGCATGAACTTTTTATATTTTGTTTTATATATTACTCCTCCAGTCGATCTATAGTCTTGGTACATGTGTAACAGGACCTTCCAGAAGATTGGAACGATCCTGGCCATAGATCAAGGTATCAGGAAGTTTTGTTTGGTATGGAGATCAAGTTTCTAAATGCTCCGTGAATGCTGCATGAAGTTATTTGTATAGGGATTCAATTTCTTAGGTTGCATCTTAAACGGACTTTTCAAGTCTCAATTAATCAGGCACAGGATATTAAAACATTAGATACTAAAACTTGCAATTGTAACAAAAAGGAATCAGAGAAAGGAGAGATGGTGTACCAGGATCCTTCTTGACACCGGGTAGAGCAACTTGAAAAAAATATGCACTTTTGCTAATGCCAATGTCCACTGCTCCTACAGGTGGCCCAAGTTCTCCCCTTCTAGCTGTTCCAGATAAGACAATAGATGCCTTTGAACTGTCTTCTTCAACTTTATGAATCGATATAAGCGGCATTACAAAAGGTCCATCTGAGCTACCATCAATCCGCTGCTTTTTATTCAAATTTTCTTCAACAACAATGGATGAATTCCCATTTTCATTAGAATCTTTTGCTACCACTGATTCCTCAGAGTTCTTCAAAACCATGGTTTTCAACAACTTGATTGATTATTGGGTTCGCATCAAATTCAGATAATCTTCAACAAGTGATTGACTCAATCTTGTGTGTCCCCTTTTGTAAGCTACCAATGCCATTAAATAAGAATAACTTTCAATTGCCATCAAAGTTGATCAAATTTAACATAATAACGTAGTACACATGTGAACCTTGGACCAAGAATTCCAGATGCAAGACAGCAATACAAAATTTCTACTGTTCACAAGCCATAGAGATTTTGAAAACAGCAAATAGATTACCATGACACAATCTTCACATCAAGACCCAAGTAACTATACTTCCATATATATTTATATCAGAATAAAAAATTGATGCATCATCTACAGTGGTTGATGCATCAAAGAAAATAAAGTTTATTCCCTGGTTTCATTTCAAATCAATGAATCATGTAAGTTTTCAAGTATACATGTTAATTCCACATAAATACAGAGCAATAATCACATTTTATCAAGTATTTTTACGGATTGACGACCAAAAACACAAATTTATTACAAGTCATTCACCCATTCAAAAGTTTGTTGTAAACCACTTTGACAAATATAATATACATTCATCTTTGTTCTCCGATTAATGATTTGGGTGAATGTTTTACAGAACATACGATGTGTCACTCAAACAATATACATATTAGCATCCTGACATGACAGATAAGTGATCCAGCACAGGAATTTTTTAATCAACTTTGAAACAGCTATTTCAAATTAGTTTACCATCATCGTTGTTCGTCAAATTAGCGAAAAATTATCTTTATTTTTTCAGTATTTAGCGCATCTAAAAAGCACAAACCAGATGATAATTAGTATTTCTATAACCTACAATCTAAGACACATTAGTCTTAAAGCAAATAATTAGTCCCCCCATGAGTGAAAGCCTGAAAGGTCTCACAAAAGTTGACATATATCAAATTTTCACACCACAATTTGCTTTCATAAATCAGTAGCATCATCATGACCCATCTTTAGAGACCAACATTGAGATCATTCTTATACCTTAGAAGGGTTAACAGCTTCTTCTAGCTAGTCTAACTAACTTAGAAATTAGTCATGAATCGAGCCTATCCATGGACTCCATTAGCTGCAAATTAAGTGTGATAACAAAGCAGAAAGCAAACTAACATAATGCCGCATTCAATACCCACTGCAATTTTGGTAACAAGAAAACTGTTGGTAAATTGGTAATGGAAGTTATAAAATCCATAGCAATTTTGGAGAGGAGACTACTAGGTTTCAATTTAGAAATCGCAGAGTATATCTTTTAAATGGAAAAGGTAGTAGGGAGTAAACTGCTTTCTACACAGATCTAGAATCAAACAAAAATAATCATTTCCCCCAACTTGAATAAGGGGAGAAAAAGAACCATAAAAACCCTGCATCGTTGAATCCTTGACACGTATAATTGATCACTCCATTCCAACCTTCCAAATTCCCATTTCACCAATAAACCAACAACAAGAGAGGGATAATTTTATCCAGATAAACAAGAAATTCGTTACTGCAAAATTGGAAGGAAATGGGAAGTATATAGTGCAACTGTGTGGGGATTGAAGGGATTATTACCAGACTCAACTCTCAAGAGTGTTTGGCGAATTCATGGAGATTTCAGTGAAGCATTTCGTCGAGCGATTGGCCGGCAATTGAAACAAGGAGTTTGATTTGTTCCTGTTACAAATAATCAGAATTGTAGAGAAAACGATGGAAGGAGGGGTCGGTGAGAGAATCTGACGCTTGAAATTGCGTGAAATTTTACACATGCTCTTGCTTGGATGTATTTTGGGCGAATCCTTTTCTAATCATAAATAAATAAACATAGAAGTTGTCATTTGTGTTTTTCCTGATTGGTTTATCAAACACTTACCCGATAAGTGTTTATGTATAAAATTTAACACTATTATTTATTTATCGGGTAAGATTTTAGTCCACCAAAACAACATCGTATGCAACAATTTACACGATAAGCGTTTACCGTAGCAAGATTCGTCGACCTCACCTACCGGGTAAGACTCTTGGTTATTGTCTTGCTCTTACCGGGTAAGATTTTTGGTCCTTATCATATTCATCCGGTAAAGTAATATGACTTGATAAGCACTTACTCGAATAAGCGTTTGGTAAACGGCCCCTAAGACCTTTGGAAATATTGTTGGATATATCAAAATCTGTCATATCAAGTTAAATCAGACTATTTTTTGGTAATTCAAGTGGTTTGGTGGTCCAGTCTGGTTTGAAAAATAGATAAACCATTTGGTTATATTCAGCCTACGGTTTAAATGTTTTTAGTGGTTTAGATTGAACTGGTCATCAAAATACACATGTATTAATTATATTTAGTTTTTCATTTACAGGCCCCACCTTTCTGATTTAGATTTCGACTCTGAGATGTGCTTCTGATTTAGATTTCTACTCGACTTCGATTTCTCTCCCTTGGTTTACGATTTCTATTCATAGATATTCTCTTTGATTTCAGTTTCTTTCTGATTTAGATTTCAGACCCTGAGATGTGCTTCTGATTTACATTTCGACTCTTTAATTTCGATTTCTCTCCCTTTCGTTCATAGATGTGGTTTGTTTATTTCATGTATGTTATGTTGAAGACAAGCTACTGGTTTATGTTAATCGTTATCATGATGTTAGGCAAGCATAACACTATCTCGTCATGCATAACTTTTTTTTTGTCATATAAAATAATATTAAACAGAATTTAGAGACAATCTTGTCATTTTAATATTTTTGTCTTGTCCTGTTCAGCTTATCAAATACAAGACCAATAATTGGTCCAATCATGAGTCATACCAAATATAGGACAAACGATTAGTCCAATACTATCTGCACCAAACGGTACCTAAATTTCGAAAATTCCACTTCTATTCATATCTCCTCCTACATAAGCGTGAGTGGCATACAAGTGATGAAATGAGTGGAAGGAAGATTCCATTGCTAAATAGTAAAGGGCAAAGATGGAGTGGTTTAACCATCATTAAATAATCAAGGTTTGACCAAATCGAGTCTATCACTTGATGCTTTAATTAATAATAAAAGATTGAGAAATTGACTCAAACAACTATATTCCACAATCAAAATTAACATCCTACCGATTTCTCTCGGACTTTACCCAAAAGTCACTAAGTTCGCAATACCCAAGTCCGCAATTACTGCAGACCCACTAAACGACAAAAAAATAACGTTTTTGAGCCATGTCCATAACCACCAGCGTGCAACTATTACTGATTCGACCGAAAACCCATTTCCCCATGAAAGTGGACACTTACGGATCAGGCATTACAGATTCGTAGAAATGGGTTTTGGATCAGATTTGTAATAATTACATACTTGGGCCAAAAAACTCTAAAATTTTGTCGTTTTATTAGACTTGGGTATTGCAGACATAGTGACTTTTGGATAAAGTCCGAAGAGATTGTTAGGAGGTCAATTTGGTTGTGGAATATTTTTATTTGGGTCAAGTTCCCTAAAATATTTATACGTGATAGGATTTGATCATTCTCAACCTCGAAAAAAAGAGCATCCATCCCCTCCACCCAAAATCAACACTTTTGGCTGGAAAAATGTCCCCACTAACAAAGTTACACCAAAGGCTAATAAAACTAAATTAAAAAAAAATTACAATTATACCCTCAACTGGCCCACATCACTTCCATGGCATGCTTGCCATCCCTTGTGGGCTACTGTTTTCGTTCCCCCGGTTCATCGGACTCCCACCTCCACCGGATGACTCACTTAGGGTCCCATGAGACGGTGAGCTGCTTGGTCCCGTACCGCGGTTTGCAGGCATCACCTTTGTTAACGGTTCTACATGATTACCCGGCATACCTTCTTTACTGTTTTCAGGAAGAAAACTTCCTACTATAACCTGTAACACACGATAAAAAGGTTTCGAGAACACAAATAATTAGCCTTCTAAACCCTAAAGCTTAGCAGTAATCAACAAGAACACGGATCAGAAAAGCTCAAGAAACTAGGAAAAACCTGAACAGGAGATGCAGCAATCAAGAGTCCAGCTACAACACCGCCAAAAACCCGACCATCAGGTCCAGATAACGTGACGCTTAGTCCTCCTGTCCTCGTGCGCTGCCCAAATACCTCTGATAGCACAAATGAACCGGAAAGGGCCAATATGTCAAAACGCCCCTGCACGAGAATTGAATCAACTAATTAGGAATCAAAACGTTCTACCTTCTTATCAAATTGTCGATGAAGATGATAAGAACTTGCATCTTAACAGTTGGTAGAATGTTATTTAAGATAATTAAGGTCATGTTCCTATGTCCTCTTTTCTCCATTCACTACTTTGTGGATCCCTCTCATCGTTTCTACTCTTACTACTTGAATGAAACCAACAGTCACATGTATGTATACCTTTCTCACGCCATATAAATGGGGCCCACAAAGTAAATCGTGCTCTAAATGAATTTCTGAAGATCCCATATCGGTACAATTTCATATTTGATCCAAGTGATATGGATATGGCCATACCAATATCAAGAATTGTCTGAAATTCAATTTTGATTCCAGATAACATATTAATATGTAAACTAACAATAACTTCTTTTAAACAAACTATAGAATTATTAAGATCCATGGATGTACAATTAATCATTTCTTCAGTTTAGTCTATTTTCGACAATTAGACAAAACCTATACAGAATGCTCTTAAGAAATATGTCACTTATTACTGATTCAGGCACTGCCAAAGCCCTTGTGGCCATGGAGGTTCACTTGTGATGACTCCAAGCCATTCGTTGTCGCCAGGGGGATTACTCGGTCCACGTAAGGTGGCCCGGCAACCCACATTTACCAAAAAAACATTTCATTATGTAGACGTATGTCACATATCTATGTCCAGAGGGTACTTCCGAGGCACAACCAGGGATACAAACAAACAAAAATGTAGGAAACCACCAATTAGATCATTAAAACAAAAATCAGAAGAACCTCATAAGTTGCAGTGCCGCCAGAAGTTGCAGCTTGACGAAGTGTCACATTAGTTATGACACCAATGCCGGACATGATGCATACGGCCCTTGGTCCATTCTGAGAAAATGACATGATCTTATTTAGCACATCCTGAAAATCCATAGAATTTGGATATCAGTATGGGAGAAACTTCAAACTGCAAATACTCAAGGATGTGAGCGACTCCTAGTCATAGCATTCTAATAATATCAAGCTAAAGTGAACTCAGTGTACACATTAAGGCCCGAGCGATTATAATATGGTAAGTGTTTATAGATGACGAGCGGTCATGTTATATATAGAAATTGTACTTCATCTGTCTCAAAATAAATGCAATGCTTGACTTGACACACAATTTCATAAGTGTTTGACCATTAGTCAAATATTTGCTCTTTTGGACCAAAATCAATGTTACTAATATTCTATAGTGGCTATTAATGGGCAAACAGGCAAATATGAATTGAAATCTTACCCAAAAGGGAAATGTTGCATTTATTTTGAGCCAGAGGAAGTATATGTTAAGAGAAAGTTATTTATGATGATTAATAATTACAAAAGATTGTAAAAACTAATTAAAAGGATGCAAAGTATAGATTGGCTTTAGAAATTAGATGATTACTAGAAAGATGAAAACTTCTAACAATCCAAATGATAAGCAAAACTATCATCACAAGAGAATGTGCCACTGAAATTGCATTACAATGATAAGATGTAAAGAAAATAAATACCCTTGGAACCATAGCATTGCAGTTTTTTCATGACTAGTTGCCTGATCAAATAATCAACGACCTCCTCACACTATGTTTGATATGCTGCCTGAAAATGGTTGAAATTAAAATAGCAATGGCTATATTTTGAAAGATATTGAATGAACCGTATCCGGAAGAGTTATTCACCCATAGGTGAAACATAATGGCTTTTCATAACATATGCTGTTGAGAAAAATCCATTATGTCTCACCTATGGGCGAATAACTCTTCTCTTCTGGATATGGTTCATCCAATATCTTTCAAACATACCCATTGCTATTTTAATTTCAACCATTTTCAGACAAAATATCAAACATAGGGTGAGGAGGTTGTTGAGTGTAACGACTCATCCCACATTTTTCTATAAAACGAGATTTGTGAGCTCCCTATAAGCCTCAAGTTGTGGGTTACCAATACCTTCCACCATGGTTTTAAGTTGGATTCGAAGTTATTGGGTCAGCCTGTTGCTTTGGGCTTTGGGTGTTACGTTGACAATTTAAACAGACAATTAGTCATGAAAAACTGCAAAACAACAAGATAAATAAGTGTGAAGTCTTTACTCATTGCTAAAGCATATTGCTTGCTTTTCTTTTTAACAACATAGCAAGCACACTTCATTTTTCTTTAAATATCTCTACTACTTTTAAGAGCAGTTGAGTATGATTAACTGATGACATCATAAGTTGAATATCATTAAGCAAGAAGAAAACAACGAGAATGAAAATAACCTCTCCAGGCTGCACCACAATGATATGTGGAGTAAAACCAAATCCAGCTGATCCTACAGACATAAGTTTTTCCATGATTAAGAGGAATAATTGCAAACTGTGGTATCCAATAAAAGCTTGCTAAGTAAAATCGATGATCCAATTATCCAATATCAGGTTGCATGCACATATGTCTATAGCAATTATGCCTATTGCAGCATAAGTCACCCCTGATTATCAGAATAAGCAAGACGAGTTAGATACCAAATTCTCAAAAGCAACATTGAGAACTCAAGTAACAAACACCAATTCTGGATGCTCTCAACTAGACACATTTGGACTGAAGGTCTACAAAATACTCTGTATATAAGAATAAATTAAGATACAGATACTGCAAAAGATTTAAGAAACCTAAACATAGAAAGAAAAATGTAAAATGAAACCTTAAAGTTGGCAAACAGGAATAACTATAGAATGATTCATTCAAGGGAAAAAAAGAGATAACATAAAATGAACAAAGGAATTCAAACATCATGAGTGAGACATCAAGAGTGTATTTCAATTCATCATGTTTAAAGATAAAGGGGCTGTTTGGTTGGTTTTCCATTAAGTGTTGTATGGATAAAGTTGACTGTGTGGATTAATCCGTATGTATAGATCGGGAGGGTTTTTGTTTAGTAAGGCATTTTCATAGATGGAAGGGGCATGTGTTTTTAAATAAGAGGGGCAGGTTGGAAAAACTTGGCTTTCTGCATAAAGCTCCCCCTAGAAGCTTACCAAATAAGCCACTTTTTATATCATTAAGCCACTACCAAACAGTCATGTATAGCTGACCGAATAAGCTGTGAGCCTCATCGAGCTCATTAAGCTATTAACAAACAGATTCTAAGTCAATTATACCCTCGTAAAAATAGAGCTGAGTTTGATTTAGAGAACACTGACCAATAAATTTTGCTTCATTTGCATCTCACGAAAAGGACATCTAGAACAGCTTCATAGCTAAAACGAACTATAGGAACAGGTTTGGTCATACTTAACACTCCCAATTCTAGCCTTGACAAACTTATGTGCATATGAACTGAAACGGGGCCACTGTTATGTTGCGTTTTATTGTCCACATGAGAGTGAGAGTAGATAGTAGAGAGTAGAGAGTAGAGAGTAGAGAGCAGAGATAAATCATATACTGCCATGAACTTTTTGCATTATCCAAGTGTATGTATGAAGAACCTACATATACGATGCATATATATGTACATACACCAGGATCTTGCTACAAAATTTTAATAATAACCTCCCACAAAAGATCATGGGACATACATAAGCTTTTAGGTCCTACTAGTGCAGTAGACCAGGTCCTAGGTTTCAGTGAAAACAAGTTCTTTTCTTTTTCCTCCTTAATTTCAATATTCAGCTAAAAGAAATCTAAACTACAATCCCGTGTGTCAGTATCAAAAAGAAAGTCAACAGAAAATGAGGTCCAAACTCGCAAGAAAATTTGATAAATGATATACATAGCATATAGTGAAGTTAAACAAGAACTAATCAGAAGAAGAACCCACCAAACATCATCACAAAAAGTCAAAAAAAAAATTCCATGTTCCACTATCACGTGGCTAAACAGGATACTATATGCACACTTGCACACCAATTAATTTGGATCTGAATTAACGAAAATTTCAACAGCCGAATACTCTGTTTATTTGTAAACAGTAAAAAAAATCTGACTACCCAATACCCACCATGATTTATCCAACACAAAGACCAAAATGAACATCCTTTTCATATGACATTTGAACCAAAATCTAACCTCAACATAAATTACTTACAAAAGATGTCAATTTTTTGAGAAAACATCACTTGCAGAAGACATCATCCACCAAGACTAACCAAAAAGTGATATGGTAGGGCACAAGTAACACACAAAAGATTGTAGCAAAGCGTTCCAACTTCTAGGAACCAAAGAGAAAAGGCTAAGAATCAAGCTCAGAAACATGTCGCTGACGTTTTGCCAACAAGTTCTGTTCATTATTTGCCCTGACTTTATAGTAAACAAAAAAATATGGACCCAAATGAAAATGTAAGCTTTTCAATTGCCAAGCAATGTGCTTGTATACCAAGTTGGATCAAGAATCAATTGCCTAAAAAGACTTCTAAGGATTTGTTCTCAATATATATAGAGAGAAATTTTATTTACCCAAAGATTCTCTTTTCTGTTTCCTGTTTGACGAACCAGGAGGTCTACCTCTGGCCTTCTTTGCTGATGCAAATCCTTCATCCATAGGAATTGAACTAACAGGGGCTGCAGAAATAGGAGGAGCAGCTGATTGAGGTTGATGCTGTTGCTGTTCGAAAGCTCCATTCAATGAAGCAGCGGCTGTAACAGTGGTGGGTGTCAACTTTGCTACCCTGGCCGCCGGTGACATAGAGCCGTCAGGGGCGTACTTCCTTGGCCTCCCCCTCTTCTTTATCATTGATTCACCGCCGACGTGCTCGTTGATGTTGATGTTCTGGTGGAACCCTGAACTCCCACCACCGCCACCGCCACCGCTGCTAGACATTACATCGGTTGCAACACTGTATGCACCAGTAACGCCGGGAGTGTACGTCGTTCGGATGCTATTGACAGGCGGCTGAGACGTTACCGGCGTCATTGACTGCTCGAAAATTCTTCCGGATTCAGATCCGTTCATCTGCATACAAGTTTCGAAATCCTTTGGTCGGAAAAATGGAAAGACGAGAGCAACAGATTGACTGCAAAAACATAGCAAATCAAAATAAGTAGGTGGAAATCAAAATCCCAGAACAAAATCAAATCTTTTTCAACTTCTGTACTGAATGAACTGATAAAAAACACAAATTACCATAATTTTAACTTGAATAACCTAGTTCAGCAAACCCCAAAAAGCCCTAATAACAACGAAGATCGCACATACAACTTCACTTCAGAAATAAAAATTCAACTTAGAATCACTGGAAATTTCCAACAAATCTACCAAAAAATAAATTAAAATTAAAAAACCAAAAAAGAATTACAGTAGACAAAGACGATTTATTCGGAAACGATTTCCTTTTTCACAATTTTACAGTTACCGAAAATACAAAAAAAAAATTAATCCGATGAAAAAAATTCAAGAAAAACTCACCGATAAATATGAGGAATTATGTGATGATTAATAATTCATGGAGAAGAAGCAATTTGTATGGTTTGGGAGAATTTTGAAAGAGATGAATTGATTAAAGTATTTTAATAATTAGGGTTTTTGAAATTCAAAATATATCCACTTTTCCATGACTTCTCTTTTACGGACCCTCATTTTTTTTTTAATTAATTAAATTTGAAAAAGAAGGAGTCGTTATATTGCTTTGGAGAACAAGATCTTTATCTATACTACCTTATTAAGCAAATTCACTAAAAGTCTTAAAGTCTTAAAATTATAAATACCCAAAATACCCTTATCTATGCTACATTATAAAGCAAATTTAATAAAAGTTTTAAATACAAGTTTAAAAGCTTAAAGTACAACCCAAAATACATGAATTACTTTCTAGAAGCCCAAATTACAACTTCAAATTTCAGATTTGAATCTCTTCGCTTCCCAAGGATTATATTCCCACTCTCCTAAAAATGATACATTTTCCAATTCAACAGATTTACACGTCTGTCGAGGTGACTATTAATTTCCAAGGTGTAAGATTTGTTCGTGATAAAACACACTGGTTCTTCATTCTTGCTCCCCATTGCTTCTCCATCTCAATCCCAAAATAAGCTGGTGTAGAGAAAGATCCATTCTGTCTCAACCTGACTCAAAGGTTGATCTCTGGATTTCTCTTCAAAATAGTCGGTTGTCGTCGTCTATCTGTGGATTTCTTTTCTGTAATCGACTTCGTCTTTCTCCATCTTTCTCACACTCTCCCCTGTACCAGGTTCATTCTCTCGATTTCTCTTTTTGGTAGTCGATCGATTATCTCCATCTCTCTCACACTTTACGTTTGACCTAATTTTCTCACTTTGTAGTGTGTATCATTGTGTAATCATTACTAATCTGTTTTTGTTGCAATTTGTCATCCGCAGATTTTCATCTGCAATTTATCAAAGGGATTGATTCATATACATTGATCGATTCCTTTCGAAGGGATTTAACGATGTAAGTTTTTCTCGAACCTTTTACACACTATTTAATACTTAGAATTTATATTTGTTTGGTATGTTTTCTTGATACGTTGTTTAGTAGGAAGTATGTGGTTAAAGAAAATTTTCCTTGTTATAATCATGTCTCTCCAGGTATGATTACTCCATAGCTTTTCATTTTTTTGATTTCCTTAAACTCTGCCTGGGTTTGACTTTTTGATTTCCTTAACTTCAACTTGAAATCTTTCCAAGGAAAACTTGCAACTGGTATGGGGAATCCTAAAGTGCACCTAAAGGCATTAAGAAAAAGGAGAACGGGTAGATTCAACATGAATATTGTGTGGTAGAAAACAAATGAAACTTGATCATTTAATATGTATTCGTAGTGATTATTGCAATTTCCTATCCTTGTAAGTGTGTTTCCTTTTTTTATTTGCTTGTAAATATGTGGTTTTCTACCTGCTGCTCGGGCTGTATATAAAGGTTATTGCAGTTATTTATGTTGGGTGTTCATTCAAGTGTCTAGCCCCAAGAATTGTTTAACAAAGCATTTTAAATGTCGTTTGAAGGTAAAGTCACAACCGGTGGTAGACAAGCAGAGACATTTGGTCCGGTAATGTTTATTTCTGGTCTGGTTTTTCTCTCTAGCCTTACCCTTGCAAGCACAGAAGTGATATTGGCAGTTTAGTAACCATATGTCCCCACCATAGAAAAAAAGGCTTGCCTTTAGAGAGTGTTGATAACTAAAGCCAATCATTATTCTTTGCAACAAAAGACAACATGGATTTTCACATAAGCAATGATTCAAGTCTACCAACATTTTTTGAGGAAGAAGTCTTTACTCTTTAGTGACTTGTAACCACCTTAAGCATTGAACAATATGAAGTTTTTTCCATTCAAATCAAACCAAACTGCATTTCCCAAGCACCTGCATTGCAAATAAAGTTGTTTTGGGTGCAATCTTCACTTTGGTCCAATTTATCGGGTAAGATTTTAGTTTACCAAAACGACATTGTATGCAATAATTTACCTGGTAAATGCTTACCGTGGTAAGAGTCTTTGCCCTCACTTACCGGGTAAGACTCACGGTTCTTGTTTCGCTCTTACCGGGTAAGATTCTTGGTCCATACCATATTCTTCGGGTGAGGTAATGTGACTCGGTAAGCGCTTACCCGGGTAAGTGTTTGGTAAATGGCTCCTAAGAGATTTGATTAGTTCTAACAAAATTTGCTTCTTCTTGATTAAATTGACACCAATTTTTTGTAGACGGAAGATGAGGTCGATTCTTGTAGGCAGAACAATTGAGGGAAGCGATGATCTGATGATGTGAGGAAGACGAAAGAAATACCAAGTGATGAGGATAAAGTCGGAAGAAATCAAGGAGAAGATACGTTGATCTTGATTAGCGTATACTTTGTTGCTGACCGAATGATTATCTCAATAATATTTTAGATTTTCTATATTGAAAATAGATATTTATCCCGTGTTTAATTATGTTTAGCCGCAGTTAGTTACATAAATTTAAAAATGGATTTTTAATAAGTTGTACTTGCGCAAATTACTTGTAATCTTAAATTTTAAGTAATATGCATCAATAAATAGTACTTCATGTATAAAAATTGTTTTTAGAAGTTTTTGTCAAATGCTTTCTAATATTGTATAGATAATAGATATTTTTAATCCACTCACAGTCAATATTAAAATGTAAAAAATTAAAAATAATTCATAAATTTAATTAAATAAAATTAAATTAATTAAAAGTATAGTAATAACAAAAATTTATTAAATACAAATTGAGAGTGTGAAAGAATCATCATGCAAACCCATAAGTTTAGTTCAACAACTGATGTTTAATGATTAACTTGTTATTTTGTATTGATGTGTTTTTAACTCAAAATCCAATTTAATTTGATTCAATAACTTCTTTTTCTAATACAGAAATTGGATCAAACAACATTTCAATTAATTATTTTTGTATATATACTACCTTGTAAACCCGATTTATCAAAAGTCTTAAAAACATTTTTTAATGCACAAGATATTATACATTTATGCACAAAGTCTTAAAAACAACTCATAATGCATTAAATACTACCACTTTATGCATTCAGTCTTAAAATATCTTAATCTACAATTAAAATAATATATAGTACAAGTTACCAATGCATATTATTATATTTTCTTTTTATGTTTCCAAAATACTTTTGACACATTTCACTCATATTTTCACCTTCTCATACCTCTATGTCTTCTCCTCATCCCCCAAGGTGAGATTCAAACTCATATTTACCATGAGTTATTAAAAAGTCTCACATTCATCTCCCATTCAATTGCTCTAGAACTCTCGGTCTCAGTCTCTTGATTCTTTGCTCTTGCTGTAAATCGAACACATTTATGGAGTCATTTAAATATGTTGGATTTTAAATATATTGAATTTTAAACTCTCATACAATTTTTTTTCTATCGATAGACTGTAATTGGAATCATAACTCTTATTTATTCAAATTGTATTAATATGTAAAGACCAAGTGTAACTTATATTATAATTAAATCTTATCTAATAAAACCAATGAAACTTTAAAATTGCTAAAATTCATGGCTCCCGCCGCATTGCGCGGGTACACAACTAGTCATATCTTATTACTAATAATTAATTTGTTTTATTAATATTATTATTTTGGAATATTTTTTTTTTTAATGTTTTAAATTTCGATGTATATCCATTCGTATATTAAATCAAATATGACAAAAGCTTATAACTATTTTGTTTGTTGTATGGAATTGACGTAATTTAATCGGTTAAAGTTCAATTTTTGTCACTATTATTTGTTTTTATTGAACTTTATTAACTCGATTTTAGTCCTTTACGGTTATTATTTTTCAGTAGATTATGTCCCTCTTTTTAGGTTTTAAGTTTTTCTATTAAATCTAATTAAATGAGAAACGTTTTTGTCATTTTACTATTTTTTTTTCTTAATTTTCTATTATAATATAGTGTTTTATAAATTTATTTGTATTTTAAGAATATATATATATAAGTCCAAGGAAAACTTGCAACTGGTATGGGGAATCCTAAAGTGCACCTAAAGGCATTAAGAAAAAGGAGAACTGGTAGATTCAACATGAATATTGTGTGGTAGAAAACAAATGAAACTTGATCATTTAATATGTATTCGTAGTGATTATTGCAATTTCCTATCCTTGTNTCCCCAACCACTTCTTTCCCTTTTAAGTCAACCACATATCTGAAAAAACATACAACTACCTCCAATCGGTTAACTTCTTTTGGTCTTTCCTCCCCCAACATTGTCGGGCTCACTGTGTGGAACAACAAAGTTGGTCGTCGTTGGTTGAGTTTGTGTTTGTGTTGCATGGTGGTGGATGGTCGACGAAATGGGGTGTAGGGGAAGATGGGTTTTGGCAAAGGGAGTTGTTAGGGAAAGAAACGGGTTTGGGTTGGTCCATTACATAGAAAAACTTAAAACGGTTTTAAATTGTTTAATGATTAAAATATCTCTTATTTAACTGAAAAACTTAACTCCGTTAGTGGGAGGAACAAATCTGTTGAAAAATGACAAGCGTGAAGGACCAAAACCGAGTTAATGAATTTTAGGGATGAGACTTGTTGAAATGGACGAACGTTGGGGACGAAAACCAAACTTTACTCTAATATAATTTAGGAGTAAACTCCAATTTTAGTTCCTGGTGAAAAGTGTGAAAGTGAAACCTGAACTTTAACAAGTTTAGAAATCATCCTTCTTGTTTGTATTTCACCTTGAAAGTGGTCCCTGGTCATTAACTCTGTAAAAAAATCTGTTAGAGGAAAGGGCATTTTTGTCTTTTTGTTTTTTATATTTTTTTTATATTAAGGCTGTCTCTGAAATCTGGCAACCATTCTCACCGACTACCACCTTTACTCCCAAATTCGTTCAACATCTCCGACCGAAATGTACAAATGTTTAATGATTTCTCCCCCTAAAACTATATTGTTGATATCACTCAAACAGACACACTGCAAAAAAAAAAACCATACACAGACTATATGCTTTCATTGAAGCAAAAACACATACACTCGATCTGTTGCAAAGAGTTTTTGCAAGACATACACATTGTTTTCAATGGACAATGTGGTCTCTGTGTGTGTGTGTGTGTGTGTGTGCGTGTTTTGCACAGATCAAAATTGCGTTTCTAGGAAGGAGTTATTGGTTTCGTTTTGCACCAATCTAGGTTTTGTTTCAGTTCTTGGTGGAAGACAACTAGAAGGGGACGATGTTTTCAGTTCTAGACAGGAAGTCATAGGTGACCC